ATCTCTTCGAATTATATAATGTCAATTTTACAGATTAATTTGAGGAGTAAAATCTAAAAAATTTCCTATGTCCTAATTTAAACTTTATTCATAGTTAGAATATGACTGTGGGAGGAGTTTGGGCAAGCACCGATTATTATTTCTTAAAATTCTCTGTAACTAAATGCATAAATTCATCAAATAATAATTTTACATGGAAACCAACATGTAAAACTTAAGATGAAATAGAAAGTACCTTAAATTATTAAGGAAGCTTTCGATTTCAAGTGTTTACAACTAACTTTGTAATTTATTTATTAATTATTTACTATTAGTTAATCAATCCAAATAGACCAAAAGATTTTGTTTAACCATTCTTAGCAACTGATTAATTTTACACATTTGTACCAGATAAAATGTTTGTATAATCAGATATATTTTTTCGTACAAAAAAAGTGACTACAGATTAAGGTATTCTCATGTATCCAGATAAATTAAATGAGACCTTTGCTTTTAGAGATTAAGGAGATTAAAGAGAATAATTTGAAATATCCAGAATAACTCCAAATTATTATGGAGCATTCTACTTTTAAAGAAGTCCATATTCATATTAGATCAATAGGAAATTTTTGCGTTTGGATGAATTGTTAAGTTATTTAGGAGGATTTACTTAATTTATGATTGTAGTTGTTGGAATTCTTGTAAGATTTTATAATAGATAACACTTGATTGTTTCAATTGCAAATGATCTTTATGAATTTGATATGAGTTTGAATAGAGCAAATACTTAAATGAATTTTAATACTCTATTAGAAAAGAAGGAGAGGAGAGAAATAAAAAAACAAAAAACAAAGAATAATCATTAAGGCTTACCTAAAATCTAAGTAATGTCTCCTTTTTCACATAAACCTGATATGTTACAAAATACTAGTCCAGCAAAAGATGATTCATAGAAGTTTGAAAATAAACAATCTATAGAATATATATAACCAACAATTTAAAGAGTATAAACAAGATTAAGTATTCTCAAAGTGAAAGCCTTTGAATATTTTGATGACTTTAAAGAATTTATAAAAAAAAAGTATGTAATTGGTCTAGGATTTCGAGTTATTTTAAGTTAAATTTTACCTTTAGAATCCATTAAAAATAACGATTGTGTAGTACTTTAAAGAGCTATGTACTATATATATAGAGTATCTTAGTGATTAAGTGAATAAAGAGTTAGATATTGAGTATATCATCAAATAACTTCATGAACTCGCAAAATTAAAGAAGGTTTTGTTTACTGAAGAATAAATCACATTATTTAATTTCAGTAGAAAACCTAAAATTGCATTAATATAAGAAGGAAAGAAACGAAGATCTACAAAGTAAAATAAATATATTGAATATAGATATATAGTTAATGATTCTGTAACAACAGAAGAATAGGGATTACTTAGATAATTTAATGATTTAGTTACCTCATATTTTAAAATAATGGGTTAGGATTCTGAGAATTAAACTGAAGAATAAATAAGATTTAATTAGAGACTTATAATATTGTTAGGTAGTGAATTAATGAATGTTTTGGAGAAGGAGATTTCTCAATAATAACATTTAGATTCAGAAAATAATGAATTTAAAGAAGAAGAAAACCTTATAAGTGATAAAGAAATATAAATTGAAAAGAAAGATTGAAATATCTGTAAATTATTTAATACATTATTATCTTCTATTATATATCTAAAAAGAAGAAGATAATAATAATAATAATATTTCTAACAATCACCTAAAAAATTAATTTCAATTTTTATATAATTTTTAAGAATTAATTATGTTTGAAGAAATATAGCTGAGTGGAATCGCAGCCAAAGAAATAGCATCTCATTCAAATGTTACTTTAATGGGAAATTAAGTAGAAGAGCATTACAAATGCACAGACTCTTCTATTACTTAATTAATAGAAGATATAATTTATGTTGTGTATATTTAATTATGTATTTAATGATAGAAAAGTTACGAATGGTTAGACTGTATCGATACATTAATATGATATGAAAGATTTATTTTATAAATAAATATCATTGGCAAGTGAGTACCTTAATTTTTCTCATTTAATTACTTAGAATGGTTGTGTTATAATGAAAGATAATGATATTCCCTATTTATTGGTAGTAACATAAACAGGATAAATATTTTATAAGAATTTAATTTCAAATGCTTCTAGTATAATTAAGAATTTAATGGTGGATAATCAAAGATTTGTGTGTCTGGCTAAATCACTTATATACAATAATTAACTTAAATTTTATGTGTTGAGTGAAACTGATTAATTAAATTCTATAACAATTGATGTTCGTAGAGGTGAAATAATGAAAAGCAAATATCAACTAAGTTTTGGTACCAAATTTTTAAGTAAATTTTTTGGAAGTCAAACTAATGATTGGAAGACTGCTTTTTAAATTAATGATAAGTAAATAATTTACTATTCCTTTTAAACATAATTTCATTTATTGGAAATTAAAGGATCAGATCTAGCTACTAGATAATTACAAGTTGAGGATAATATCAAAGTTAAATAAATAGAAGTATTTTAACATAAACCAAATGGATAAACTACATTATGTTATCTACATTAAAATCAAATGAAAATCTATTCATTAATAGGAAATTAATTAAGAATAAATTGTATTATTTCATAATTAGATTTCTTATTAAATATAAATTTTAGTATTACTAGTATATATAATACTATAATTTTGATTTAAGGATCTGAAATTTATTAATTAGTAAATGATAATAATACTTTTGAATTAATTAATTCAAATAAAAATCCTGTTTTAGGTTTTATAAATTTAGATGATTAATTGTTGTTATTTTATAAAAATCATATTTCCTTTATTAATTAAATTTAAGATTAAATTAGTAAGAGATAATATTAATTAAGACAAGAAATATTTAAATTTAAAAAATATGTAGAGAATTAATATAAATTAAAAGATGAAGAATTAATACTTCAATCAATCTCTATTGATTCTTTTGTTAACAATAAATTTGATTAATTTTAAACTCTTATTAAATTTTTGCATCGAAATTTAGATCAAAGGAAAATAATCTAATTGATGAAATAATAATCAAATAATTTTTGTATAGAAGACTTTATGAATGAAGTAATGGATGAATTGGAAGATATTTATTATTATTTGAAACCAACTATCTAAATGTTAGATTTAGATTTTAATCAAACATACAATTTATTAAGTTAATAACTCTAATGTTTGGATTAATTCTTGATTCATGTTTTTTAAGATGAATTTTAAAGTATATAAGATTTTCGATAAGATCAATCAGTAAAATTTTCATTGCTTAAATTCTTAGTAATGAATCAACTCAAAGACTATTATTACATGTATTTGGAGAATTATATAGGTTTGGCTGTAATAGCCAATATTTCTAATTTTTAATTAGATCTCCAAAATGATCATAAATTATTTTATGATACTATGCTTCTCTTAACTTTATTACAAGATAAATTCTATGTATCATTTTAAGATGTACTAAAGAAAAAATTCTAAATAGTATCAAATGATATTTCATTACAAAAATTGAATTGCATTTAAAATGTTACATATAGATTTATTAATTTAATCTACAAAGAAGTTTTTAGAGATTTTGCTATACCAGAAGAATTATTATGTGAATCTTTTGTATATAATTAGAAAAGATCCTTGATATAATAAAATAATGCAAAGGAAATTATAAGACATTATAGAGTAAGTTAGTAATTAGGATAATAATAATAATATAATAATATTATTGATTTTATTAATGAAAAAGAGGATCAATATCAAGAGTTAAAATTGAAAATTTCATTTTATCTACAATAATAATCAAATTCTGATAGTGAATGGGAGATTATACTAAATAAATTGATAAGTTATGCTATTAAATAAGAACAATATCAAATTTTGTTTTAAATTTTGAATATGAATGAAACCAATCAAATAAATGATCAATTATCCATAATGATTGAGAGCAATCAATTATTTAAATGTTAATTAAGTAAGTTTGATTCTAATCTATGTTAGATGCTAGAACAACTGAACAAATTGCAGAATTGTTACTTCAATATTCACGTGAAAAATGTCATAATTTAAAAAAAGGAGATAAAGTACTTCAATATTTCAGTTTTTTAATGAGATAAGAATCTAAAATAAAGGTATAGAATTATTAAATATAAAATAGGCTTTTACTTTATTATTTGAGTATATAGTAAATTTGGACATGTAATTATTCTCATTAAAATTTAAAGATGTAGCTCGTGGAGTTAAAATTTAATTGGATTATATTATGATATTGTTAAATTAGATGGAATTATAATGTAATTAAGATAAATTGCCTTATTCAAAATAATTGATTTGCAAAATTAGTGATTAAAATTATGAGCAATTTAAGAATCCAAGTACTATAAATGATAAATCTGAGATTGATTTAACATCTCCATTAAATATTAGGATTGTAAATTAAGAGCAAATAATAAAATTTAAGAAATACAAAGAGATATAAAATTATGTTTGTACCAATTACACTCCTTATGCTTAACTTAATAAGGTAGTAGAATAATTGATATTCAATGGAAATTTGACTTAATTAATTAATGTATTTGAATTAAGTTTAGATCCTAATTTTGAGAAAGATATAGTGTTTTTCTATTTTATTAATGAGGCATAGAGATAAGAATTACTGAATAAAGTGAAACCATTTTTAAGTTAAAAGGAATTTTCAATAATTTTAGCTTAAATTTGTGTGGTTTGCAATTTGAATTTTGAAAAGTGTAAGGAAATGTTTAAGATGGCATCAAGTTAAGAATACTTTTTATAATATTTGATTAATGTTGATAAAGAAGCTATTGCTTATATGATTATCTGATTGTTATATTGATATTTTATATAAATTTTAAGTAAGAAAAATATATTTAAAAATATAACTATCTGTCTTGTTAAAATATATAAAATATATTACATACAATTAATTTAGAAATGATTGATAACAAGAATGCTCTAATGAGTTGTAGTGCATTTAAAGAGAGTGGTGTTTTAAAAGGATGGAGTGAAAGATTACTGATTTATGATTTATTGAAATAAGTAAATTGTATAATAAATAGAGAGATATTGAGATATATAGATGTAAAAGGGTAAACACAAAAGTAATTGTTAATTGAAAATTATATTATTCATCCTGTTGTTTTTCATTAAGGAAAGTGGTCAATTAAATTTAAGACTCAATAAGAAATTGAACCTAGAGTGGTAAGGTTTGGTTGGATGAATTAATCAGAAGCACTTTAATGGTATGATTATTTCAATGGAAAATATTTGACATAGAAAATAAAAAAAGAGAATTAGGAAAGAAATCTTTAAGAATGGGATAAATTTATGCCTGAATCTGAACGAGTGGTCAATCAAATAGTACCTACAATGGATATTAAACCAAGTTAAATATCAAGAATGAGACAAATCATACCTTTATTACCACAATTTTTATAAGTATAATAATATTATTAAAATTAGAATGATATTGAAATTATATTAGAAAATACATTTGAAAATTTATAAGGTTTTTCAGACATACATTCTTTTATAGTATTGCATCAATCTTAAAACAAAATACTCTATTAAGATCCTAAAGATCCTTTGCATATGAGATTCTTTCTGAAATCTGAAATGTCTCCTAATAAAATATTTGATGTACTTAAATTATTTTATTTATTAGGAATTATCTACACATAATTTTATAGATAATTGGAGTCCTCAAGTATCTATTTACTAAGTTTATCCAACTAAAAAAGATTGTGCTATAATATATACAGAATTTGATTTAAGTAGAAATACAATAGATATAAATAAAAATAATGAAATAGAATTAGGAGACAATTAGAATTCATAATAAAAATTAAATTAAAACATACAAAATGATAAAATTAGATTAATTTATACATAGAAACACTTTCAAATTGATGAACATGCTTATTGTATTATGAAAAAATATATTGGAAATGAAATACATCATAATCAATTTGATAAAGATAGAATAGATGGAACTGAAGAATATTAAATTACTAGATCTTGTGTTTTAATTTAATCATAATAAGATGGAAATTACAAGACATAAATTATTGAAGACATGTATTTATCATGTTAAAATGAAGAAAAAGGTGAGGAAGTTATGAAAAGATTCTTATTATCATTTGCAAATATTGATGATCAAATTTTAGAAGCTGATCATTATATTAAATAGAAAACAGAACATGTGCTTATCAAAAATGAAAATGATATTGAGAATCTTCAAATTTCATTTATTCAAATGGATTAAGAAATACATAGAATTACCTCAGAATAACATCAATAATAATCAATCTAAGAATATTAAGAGATATTAAATTTAATCTAAAGTGGATATTATATCTAATAATCTATTAATAGATAATTTAATCAAAATATTTTACCAGGATTAGATAAATAATTAGAAACATCCAAAGAAGATGGACATTTTTTATTAACTAAATATTATGAAGTTGATCCTAAAAAAGGTGGATTAGTTTATACTAATAAAAAATTAGTTAGTGATTAAAGAAGTGTCTTATTAGATATTATTAAGAGAATGGGTTCCAATTTATTGAGTGGTAAATCTTTGATGTCTGTTTCATTGCCTATTCAAGTATTTGAAGCTAGATCATTTTTAGAAAGAATGGCTAGAGCATAAGGTCATGCTCCCATCTTTCTTGAAAAAGCAGCTTAAATTATGGATGTTATGGAATAAATGAAATTAACTATATCATTTCATATGGCTAGTTTTATGATGGGAATTTAGTAAGAAAAACCATTTAATCCAATTATAGGAGAAACCTTTGAAGGTAGAATTAAGGGATGTCCTATATATTTGGAACAGACATCACATCATCCACCTATATCAAATTATATCATGTATGGAAGAGGTTATAAATTATTTGGAGCATTCTGTCCTGTTGTTAATATGGGTACGAATAGTTTGGCAGGTGAGTAATAAGGACATTCACAAATTCTTTATCAAAATACTAATCTCAAATTTTATTATATGGGTTAACCATTTATGTTATATGGGGTTTTGCTTGGTCAAAGAAGTGTCAATTGTCATAAAAGAAGTTTTTGTTTTTAACCTGAACATTAATTATTAGTTGAAATCACATTCAATCCCAAAAATAAATCTACAAGCTTTTTTAGTTCTTCATAATAAAAGATAGATGCTTTTGTAGGCAAAATCTGTAAAGTAACTCCAGAATGCATTTAAAAATGTTTAAAAGCACATAAAACAAATTCAGGAATTAAATTGAAAATTTTACCTTAAGAGATTCTAGACACTTACAACACCAGTATCAAAGGTAGATGGACATCTTATATATAATTTGATAATATTAAATATTGGGATATTGATCTACATAGGTATAAAAATATATATATATAATAACTAGACCTTATGTTCTCGAGTTAGAGTCATCTCCATTACCATCCGATTGTCTTTATAGATTGGATTTGTTATTTATGAAAATGAAGGATTATACTAGAGGATAAGATGTAAAAGAGTAAATGGAGGTTGATCAAAGAAAAGATAAATCTATAAGAGATAAATATAAAAAAAAGAAAAAATAAAGTTGAATATGAAATCAATATAATCATCGATTAATACATCCTAAAGCAATTAAAGCTTTAGTTAAAAATCCACTTTTTTAACAACAACTACCTTATGATTGTTGTTGATCTTATTAGCGTTAAAACTAAAATTATAAACTTCTAAATTTCATAGCTTCCCATTCTTAAATAGAGGATTTTTAACCAAAATGACTATCCAAAATTTTGGATTAGCTTTCAAGAACTTCCGATGTATAATGAGTTGATTTAACAGATATCATTGAAGAACTTCTTATTGATCCTTTTCTATCTTATCCTTATTATAGCATCCATTAATGATTTTTAATCTAATCAATTGTAGGCCTACAAGGAATTCTATATTAGAGTAAACTGTTAATTAAGGATTTGCATTCTTCAGAAATATCATATTCATATTCTAATTATCTTCTAGATAATATTTTTTAACTCTTTTCTAAAAATGTCATTCCTTAAAATGGGGTTTTTCCTTAAACCATTTCATACAACATCACCCCTAAACTCCATATATCAGATTTATAATCAGTTGTTTAAGATTATATCATCTCAGGCGACATATATTCAGATGTACCGCAAAAAGCTTTATGATAATTTGGCATTTATGTAGCCCATCCAAAATCACCTATTTTTAAATCTCCAGATTTAGTTATTAATAAGTTTTCAGGCTATTTTATTATTTCTATTTGTACTTTTAAATCTCTATGTACAATCTTCATTTTATGCATATATTCTAAACCAGCTAACAATTGTGAAAAGTATTAATATGCTTCTCTCTCTTATAATCTTTATTTACGTTTTATCAATTAAAAAAGGGAGCCCAATTCTGCATATTCTAATATTAAGAACACACTATTTATTTTTAGATACATAACAGTACCTCATCTAATCTTCATAACAGTAGCACAATTTTAAAATATTTGGATGACAAAGTTTTTTTTATATCAATATTTCTCTTTTTAAGTTATCTAATGATTCTTATGTCTTAAGTTTTGATTTACTAATCTTATACATTTGATCAAAATATTACAGTCTTTCTTGCATAATAAATTCGACTATTAATATCTCTCACTAATGAAACAGACCCATAAGCTCCAGAACCCAAGCATTATTCAATTATTTGAAAGTCCCTTTGAAAATTATATTATAAGTTACTTTTCATTTTTCTTTTAATTGTTGTTTCTTTAGCTCCACTGAGAGTCAATTTAACATAACCTTATAACTAGCCTAATATAATACAATTCATTCTTATTTTAAATAGGAACATGATCATTTGTTTATTAAAACACCTTTTAATTCATATCTTCTTTTTTCTTAATAACGATTTTGTTCATTATTAAATGTTAAGAATTTGAAGATATTAATTTGTTTCGATCAATTTGTTTTCAAAATATATATAATCATAAACAAGAATAAATTTAGATACAAAAAGCTCATAAACTTTAAATTCAGATACATGGTATACTATTCTTACTCTTTAATTAAATTATTAATAATTGAAAAAGACACATATAATTAATATATTTAATAATTCAAATTATAGCATTCCTACTATTAATTAAATTCTAAGTTAGTTCTAACCATTTGTATTGTATTAATTAAAATATTTATTATTGGTGATATTTTTATTTTTATTTAAATTCAATCATCATATTATATAGAAATAGCAATAAAGTGAATAAAATAGGATTAATCTCCTTTTAAAATTAAAATTAAATCTAAATATCAATTTAGAATAATAATTTGTATCAACAAAAAAATTATGAAGAAATACAAAATTTTTGTTCTACATATTTAATTTAAGAATATAGGAGTATGATTATATAAAGATAGATTGATTTTCATAAACATTATATATCTTTATAAATATATATAGAGAGAATGCTTAAATTTAATAAAGATATAAGAGTTATTTCTAATTCCTAATTTCAATTAATGTGGAAATATAGAATTATAAATATTATGTAAAAATAAGGTTTACGTTTATATGTAAATAAGTAGAGATAGAGTAGATTTTTATAATAAATCAATTTTATTTCTAACGTAACTTAAAGATATAATTAGAAAGTAATAAAGAGCTTTAAAAAATATTAAAGATTATAATAATTTTAGTATCAAGAGTAATTAAAATTCAAATGGAGAATTAAAAGTTATAATTATAATACAAACAATTATGGAAATACAGTTGAAAGTAATAAATGATTTTTGTTGAATTTAACAGTAAATAGATTATTTTAATATCTTTGAATCATTAGATCATTTTAAACGAAATATATAAATATTTCTATTAATTCATTGGATTAATTTGATATATAATAGACAATACTAAATATATTTGATTGTATATCATTAGATTGTTATATAATTAATTTCAAAATCATCATTTAATTAATATGTATATAGATACTAAATAGGTTTTTATAATAATAATATTTTTAATAAATAATGTATATTCATACATAGATAGAAAATAAAAAAAGTAAGTATTATATTTTAATTGATATATTATATTGAAATACTTAATATTTAAATATATTATATGAAATGGATTTTATTTATGATTAAATATATTTTTAATAAATTAACTGTTTATAATGAGTTAACTGAAGAAATTAAATCAGCAGGTTAAATAAGTGAAATGCATAACACTATCCGCTAATTAATCTCATCATTCTCATCAGTCATCTGTGAAAACATTACCAAAACCAATAGCATCACGGCCTGTAACTTCGATTACTAAGAATAATAATAAAGTGGAAGCTGTGAAAATAGATTTAGTCAAATAGAAAAAGCAAATAACAAATATTAGTGTGACAAGATCTACATCTTCTGCTCGTACTAGATCTGCTTCAAATGGACCAAAAGAAGAAAAAATTCCAAGAATTTTAGGAGACTTATTAGGTCCTGAAGTTGAATTAGCAGATTGTTAAGATTTCTTATTGTAATTAAATGAACCACAATTAAAGATGGATGAAGATTTAATGAAGGAACGTGTGATTTTGGCTAATAGGATAGCAAATACAATAAAGATGAAAAAAAGAATACCAACAACTACAGCAGATTATTATAAGGTTTATTATGTAGACTTAAAATAGGTAGCTGTGTTCTGTTATAGGGAAAGGCGCTTTTGCTAAAGTTTGTTTAGGAATACAGATTTTGACAGGAGTAAAAGTAGCTATGAAGATTATTGAGAAATCTAGTCTTAAAAATGAAAGTGCTAAAAAAAGATTAATGCAAGAAATCACTTTAATGAAACTCTTATAACCATATAAATGTTGTATTCGTTTATATGAAGTTTTTGAAACTAAAAGATAAATATATTTAATTATGGAATATGTTGAAGGAGGAGATTTAATCAAATTTACTAAAGAAAAACCATTATCTGAATAAATGGCTAAAAATATTTTTGGATAATTAATATTAGCACTTTAAATATTGCAAAATCATAATATTTTACATAGAGATATTAAATTAGATAATATTTTATTATAAGGAGAATAAATTAAGTTATGTGATTTTGGAGTAAGTAGATAAATTGTAAAAGGATAAAAAATATTAGAATAGTGTGGAACTCCTGCTTATTTAGCACCTGAAATTATGACATAAAAAACTGGATATGAAGGTTTTGCTAGTGATATTTGGAGTTCAGGAGTTCTTCTATATATTTTATTAGTTGGTAAAACACCATTCAAGGGAAATAATATGAATGAATTAAATTAATAGATTTAGAGTGGATTATTAAATTTTATGGAAATTAAAAAAGCAAATCTTTCAAATGAAGCAGTAGATTTAATGAAATCTATTTTAAATATCAATCCAAAATTGAGATTTACATTACAAGAAATCATGAAACATATTTGGATGAAAGATATTGATTTTAAATAAATAAAATAATAAACTAATTCAAATTTAGATTTAAGAATTATATGTTAAGTATATTAATAATTGTTATCTAATTTAGATTGAATAATATGGTTACTAAAGAGAAGTTATAATCAAAACTTTATAAAACAAGACATTAAGCCATATATCAGCACTTTATTGGGCTTTATATTAGTGATACTTATACATATATATATATATGAATATTTAAAACTAATAAATAATAATAAATTTTATGATTTATTATTAAAATATTTTTCAGAAATCTTTTAAATAAGTTATTATTTAATAATTTAATCTTAATCATATTTCCATATATTTATTATAAAGTTATGATGTTCTTAATTCTTATACAGATTTAAATTCCATTTTTAGTAAAGCATAAATAATTTGTAATTCAGGTTAATAATCTTATAATATATGTGGTTTAAATATACTAAGATATAGACATATATTTATACTTGTTTTTAGCATCTTTATGCATTTAAATTCTTTCATCTTTATTTGGTGTTGGGTTACAAAGATCTAATATTATAATTCCAACTTAGAATAATTCTTATTTTGCATCATAAGCTATTCCTTTCTTTTGCATACCATTATTAATTTCTACAGTACCACAATCTTTACTAAGTTATAACCAATTAACTTTTTATCCATCGTCATTTAAATGTGTTTTACTCCAATCAAAATCACAAATTCTTAAAGCAACATCTCCAAAATTATCTTTTGTTACAAGTATATTTTCTAATTTTAAATCTCTATGAAAGAATCCTTAACCATGAATATATTCTAATCCAGTTATTAATTAATGAATTAAAGATTTCATAGTCTTTCTTTTAAATTCTAAAGGTTAATTTAATAAATGATTCACACTAAATTGTAATAAATCATTGCAACCTAAAAATGAATTATATTCCTATTGTAAATAAAGATAGAAATATTTTTAATTTTTTTAATTAATCTCTTATTCTACCCACCAACTATATAATCTAATTACATTTGGATGTTAGAGTCTTAACATAGCTCTAACTTCTCTTATTTAAGTAATCTAATTATAAAATAATCTTTGCCAACTGAATTCTCCCATTAATCTCACTTTTTTTATTGCATATATCTATTAATCCATTTTATTAATAGCCACAATTATAGATGTATATCTTTAAGTCTCTTAATATGGTCTAATAACACAAAATTCCTTTACAAACTTTCCATTACTAAATAAATCACACTTATCAAATTCATTAAATTGAAAAAATTTAAATTCATAAACCACTGTCAAACCCTTTTATGGGTCTTTATCACCAAATTATAAAGGTATTTAAAATTCTATTAACTATTTAATTATGTTTTCATCCACTTATATTAAACAACAAGCTTTTTGCACTTAAGTAGATAAAATAGGTTCTATTTTAACATCAGTAGGTCTTATTTTTTTCTAATTTATTTTAAATGATAAATTACCATTGATCCTTAAAGTATATTTTTGACAATGTATTCAATAGCTGTAATAACATCTTATCTTGAAATAATATGTTTAATTTAATTTTTATATTAATTAATTATAACAACAGCAAATATATTAGGAGATGGAGGAGCTTCTTCTAATTGCATGATCTATTATTTATTCTATTATTATGAGTTTTAATTATTTTTTTATTCATCTTCACTATCAATAAATTCTATATCAATGGTATCCTTATTCATTTCTCTACTAATTTTTTAATTTTATATATATTATTTAGATAATAAATTTTAATTAAGTTTTAAAAATTTAATTAAACTATTTTCTAGAATTTATCAAGTGAATAAAATATTAATAATTTTATTATTATTTTATGATAAGGGAAAAAGTTTGGCTAAAGATTGAGCAATTATAAAAAAAACAAAGAGAAGACAAGTTTTAGGTATAATAATAAACATATTTTTTATAGTTAAAAAGAAGATTCAAATTACCAATATAATAAATTTTGGATGAAATCATACAAGATAAAAGTTTGATTATTGATTTACTTTATAGTAATCATAAATTAACAGAAAAAGCGTATTAATGATATGTATTTAGATTAAATTATGGAATTATTGATTGTTTACTAAATAATTGCAATTCAAATAAAGCATGTCTATAATTATTGGCATTAATTATTTTGAGGTATATAAATATTATTTAACAATTAGAGATAAGAATAAATTAGTTTAAGAGTATCTTTAAGATAAAGAGATTACATGTTAAACAATTAAGCAATTAATATCTAGAAATAGAAATTGATTTTTAATAATTTCTGTTTGTAAACTGAATATTTAACTTTAATATTCCAAATATAGTATAATATATTTCTTAACTAAATATTTAGTATCTTTAGAAGTATTGTTTGTATATATTACAAAATATGTCTAATAATTCTATTATATAATTTAATAGAAGAGATGATTGATTTAGAATATTACATTTATTCAAAATAAAAAAATATCATCTATTCTGGAGAAGAATTAATTTTAAATAACAAATATTTTTTATTCACTTTTTATAATATCTCTATAATTAATGTTTTCTTTATGGAAAACCATATTTTTTTAATGTAATATAGAATTTTTATTTCAGTTATAATTAGACAAATCAGTTTATAATTATTTCAAATGTAGATAATTTCAATTTTTATTAAACTCAATCTAAGGATATTAAAAATAAATCTATCATATCTATAGCTGTATCTTCATCAGTTTATATAAATTCTTTGATATTTTTTAATTGAAAATCATGTGTTTTTGTTAAGTAAACTATTTGATCTAAAGTCTTAACCTTATTTTATTTTGCAAATTCCTTTAAGTCTTCATAAAGTTCTTAATTATTTAATTGTTTTTCATATTGTTCTAATCTTTTTAAAGCCAATTCTTTATAATAATCTTTTACTTATTGCTATTTTATTAAATTATATAATTACTTTTGGTTATTAAGGATGCATAGTTAATTAAGCATGAACTACAGACTTTCTTTTAATTCTTTACATTTTCTTTTTGTCTCTTATGATAAGGTCTTATACATCATGCATAAACTTTGCTGCTTATAATGGTTAAAATTCTTTTAGATTTAAATTTCCAGTTGCAAATTCTTCAATTTTCTGTATATTTTAATCAATAAATTTTTTAATTTCATCATCATCTTCTTTAAAAGTTACTCTAGATTTCAATTTTTCAATAATTTATAATGCTTATATTGCTTCTTATTTAACATCCTTACCAATTGAATTATACTCCATTAATTTAGTCATTATTTATCTAATAAATCTATCTAAAGCTTCTGGTGTTACACCTTCTTTATCTAAATTAATTTATTTTCCTCCAACTCTAATAGAATTGCTATTTGTAAATAATACTTGATTAGGAGTTACTCTATGTACTGGTCCTGTAAATGTAGTCAATTAACATTATGGATCAACACGTATCATTTAATAGAACACTTCATCTTTAATATCTTACAATACTTTGGTAAAATCAATTTTAGTGTTTTATATTAAATCTATTTATGATGATAATATTCCTGAATTATGAATAATCATTTTCAATTCTGCAGCAACAGAATGTGAGAATTCTTCTCCTAAAGCTAATGTATGAAATTTAAATTAATATCCTTAAGAATGTAATTATTCAAATTCTTTATTCATCTCTTCAAAATACTATTCTATTCCATCATGTTCTCCTATTCCATCAGTTATAAAAATGATAAGAATATTTTGTAATAAGTTACCAGATTTAATCAACTTCATTAATTCTCTAAATCCTAATTCAATATTTGTTCCCTCTCCTTTTTATGTAGTTAATTATGGACTTTCTTAAAGTGTAGCTGTGTCATCATACTGAATACAATAAACACTTTTGAATCCACTTACAAAGTAATTCCAAGCTTTACATAAGTCATTCCATGCCTCACACATTGATCCTGAACCATCAATTATACCAACAACACTATATTCTTAAATTTATGCTGATTCTTTTAACCAATAAATGTAGGGAGTTGTCATTTTTTAATTAATATTATAAAATTTTATATATAAATAATTTTTCATCAAATTATGATTATCTATTATTAAAAATACTATTGTAATTTCATTAATTGTATTCTATTGCTCTAATATTTAGATGATTTTAATTTTAATTTTCTTATATTGTACTAGATATTTAACCATTTTATTTTAGAATTATAAACTATTTTATTAATTTTAATGATAATAATAAATTAATATAAATATTCTAATAAATATTATATTAATTAAAATTGTATCTTTTTTCTATACTATTTATAAATAATTTAGAGCTGTTCCCTACATTAATTTGAAAATACATATACAGATTTGAATATTCATCTCGAAATTACAGCATTTATTAACTTAAAACATAAAAGTTGATTTATTTATGATTTTATCATTTAAAAGTAATATATATTTATATATATTTTAGTTTGAGAATATATAGAAAATATGAAACATTTTATTTGTGTTTTTTAATAAATTTAAGAAATTCGAAGCTTTAATTTTGTTATTAATGAAAAATAAGACAAATATTTTATTCTTTTATCATTAAATTAAAAGTAATACAATTAAATTATTTAACATTAATTCTTTATTTCATATTGTTTATGATTCATTGTAAATAATTAAAATTTATTGAGTTTAAGAAATGCATACACATAAATGTAATAAATATAATTATAATTTATGTTTGAAAAAGAAGAAATATTGTAATATCTAAATATATAAAAGATATAAGAGAAATAAAGATATTTATAACATTCAATCAATTTAAAAGGTTGCTTCCATAATGGTTAAATAAATGCCTTCCACACCATCCAAATTTCCTATATATTTCTGCATCATATCAAAGTGAGTATATGGATTTTATAGCTTTGATTTGCATATAACATAATTAAATACAGAAATCAATTCATCAGTACTCAAATTTGATGGTTGTTAAGCAAATTATTAATAATAATCCATAATGGTAGAATATATACATTGAAAACAAATAACTAATTATTTTACTTTATGATGAGGAGTTTATCTAAATTATATAAGTTATAATGCTTATATTGCTTTTTCAAAAGGTGATTAATGAAAAAATGTACCTGAAAGCAATCTTGCCTAAGGTCTAGAAGGTAATTATGTTATATCAACATCCTCTATTATAAGAGTTTCATAATTAATTTATTAAATTTAATTGGTAATAGAAGTATTTGTATTAATTTTAGTTGATCTTTTAATTTAAATATAATCTCTAGTTGTGCAATCTAAACAAAATTTATTAGATATTCCGAAATCTGATAGAGTTTTTTTTTAAGATTAGATAAATTTGAAATGTATCTTTTGATTTTCTTGTATTTATTCTTATTTTTTAATTTAATAAACATAAGTAGATATTTCATCATTGAATATCATATTAGTGACAAGACACTGAAGTGATTAAAAATTCAAAAATTAACACTAATTAATCATAGCATAATGTCTTAGATTATAATAATGAATTAAAATCTAAATTTAATTATTTTATTACTTAAACATAAGAATCTCGAAATTTAATTAACATTGTATCTAATTCATGACTAGTATTCGGCAGTTAGGTTCTTCGAAAAGCCTAAAAGATATCCAATAAACAACCAGAAAGGGTTGATAATTAATTAATAACTTATTTCTCATAATCCTGTAGACAAGGATCACAATCTTAGAGCAATGTCGTAACTTAAAATTCTTTAGAAGGATGAATAGTATTTTTTGATCTTTTTATATTTTCTAGTTCAGTTGCAAATAGAGATTCATTGGTACTTATAGTATTATTTTATTCATGATATGGTTTAACTGTTTAATAAAGAGTAAGAAAGTTGATTTTATGGAAACGATCTGATCTAACATTTATATGATATCCTAATTTTAACACTTCCCTTTCTACTCCAACATACCAGTGATTCTAGAATAAGAAGAGAGATATTACTTAATAATTTTTGTAGATATCATAGATATTGTCTGACTGATTTACTTAATTATTGCCCATTTATAATTATATAAATTTTAATTCAATTAACTATTCTAAATGTTTCCTTATTTAAACATTCAGCTATGGCTGAACGCTTTTTCAATTAATCTATTAACACTTTCAATTATTATAAAGAACAATTAAATTTTTTTAGTAATTGTCCAATATTTACTCTTTTATTGTGTCTGATGTATCCTTCAATCTATTTCTCTAAAGGTTCATCCTTTAATTATTTCCAATCAATTGGTGGTCGAGATTATACTTCAATTTCAATTACTTTCATTGTATGATACATCCAATCTGATACATTAGATGTTAAATAATGTTGTAATATAAAATAAGGAGCATCTTTAAATATTTTTATTTAAATTATGAATTTATAATAATATGAAGGATCATCTCTATTAAATTATAATATAAACATACTTCCCTTCTTCTATTAATTTTAAAATTGGATCTTCATTTTATTTATTTGCAAAATAAGTAACTTTTAGAATTCCAGTATCATCATTAATTGATATACTGTATCTGACTTGATTTTATTCTTTGACAATTTTGTGAAATCTCCCATGAATAAAAACAATTGTTAAATTAACATTATCATAATAAACTTAATTTCCTTCCAAAGTTATTTAATTAAGCATTTTCACATTCAAAGGAACAATTCCTGAACTAACCTTATTTCATAATTCAATACTTCTAGATTAGAATTTGAATTCATTTTCACTATTATTTAAATTAAAAAAATAATAAATTAAATTACAATAATAATTAAATACATTCCAAAAACATTTATATAAGGTTTTTATTATTTACATACTAATTCTATTTTATAAATTACTTTTTAAACTTATAATCATGAACATTAAATAAATGAATAAGATGTATTGTATAATAAATAAAGAATAATTAGTATATTAATTAAGAAAATTTAGTTGTTGAATTTAATTAAATTCAAAAAAATGAATATAAGATAAAAGTTACTATAAAATATTAGTTATATAGCGGGAGATGCAAGAATCAAATAATAAAATTAGAGTAATTTAAGAATAAGATCATAAAAGCCAAAAAAAGAGAATGCTAGTTTTATTGTTACAAAATAAACATAATAACTAAAAACAAATACTCATCTTTATAAAACCTAAATACATTCACCTATAAAAAATAGAAGTATAAATTAGAATAAAGAAAATAATATAAATAATGTATATGAACCAATAAAGAATTCAGATGAATTAATTATAAATAGTGCAGAATCACATTCATTAAATTTATCATATTCACCTTCATCTAAAAAGAAACCTTAACCATCATGTTTCGTAATACCTTCTAGAAGTATTAAACCAAAAATTAAATTGACAAAAAAAGCATTAGAAATTAGAAGCATCTATTTGGATAAACCAAAACCAAAACAAAATAGTTTTATAAACATAAAATGTACTTATAAAATAATCAGGTGAGAATGAATATCTAATTATGTGTTTTTATTAATCAATACATTATTCGAGTTATTTTAATTCTGTATCACCTATTTCATTTACAAAACATTTTATTAAATCTTTACTTAAATGAGCACAGCATAACAAATAAAAAGAAGATAATAACCTTCAGAATAGATGGGATTTTGTGTCTAATGTTTAAATTTTATTCCAATTGCTTAAATTGATATTCACTGTCTAAACTGTATGGACAATACCAAGAAGCTCAACAGCTAAATTGATTAAATCTCTTAACAATTACAACATATACAGAACATTGCTACTAAAGGAGCTGACAAATCAAATGATAATAGTGAAAAATACAAATTCATGATTAGAATACAGGAGCTTAGTTCTCAAATCGATGCTATTCGATGTTATAATAACTAAAGTATCAAAAAGCTAAAAGACATAGAAAGTGAAGTAAATGTACTAATAGCTTACCCATAAACATCAATGACTATCATGATGTTATTAAACAGATTATTATCCTTAATAAAAGAGAAATTAGTTTTACAGAATCAGAAAAGACTGGTTACTCAAAATTCATTACCTTAAGGGGCTGATACAAGAATAAAAACCGAATCACAGTATTAGGAAGGTAGTGAAGCTGAATACACATATAGATAATTCAAATCAGAGAATAATATTAGAAAAGTATCTGAATTTAAAAGAACTTTTTATTCAAAATGTTTGGAGTTGAAACTTTAGCTTTCATAAAATGATCCAGCTTAATAGATTCTAGTATAAGATTTATACAGAATAGTAGTTAGAAATAATTACAATCAAGAAGAAGCAATTAGATTTGTGAGAAGATGTTTAAATGAGGGTAAAATTAATTAAGTATGAGTATTCTTTTTTTATTTCTAACTTAATTAATTATTAAATCGTTAAATTAATGGATTTCTCTCGACTATCAGATATAAAATTAAATCTTTCTAATCATAATGGAATTGTACTAACAAATATATAACTTAACTATAAAATATAGTAAATAAACCAAATCTAAACTCAAATAATGGAAAGTTCACATTCAGCACTAGAAAATATTCCTGATTATTTATAACTATTCATAAATTTGGCAACAATAATCATTTATAAAATGAATATTATATGAGTGTGATTATAATTACTAATAAAAAAAGTTAATCAGAATTTTTATGGTTTTACTATCTTAGATTCATTAACATTATAAATTTATCCATCGAATTAAGCTCAGGAAAATTTTGAACAATCTATACCTTATATAGAGTTACTTCCGAGTATGATATTATTTTCATTAGTATGATATTAAATGATTATACTTTATTAGCTAAATAACAAGACTTCAAAGACCATGAAACAGGTATTTCAGTTGTTTTTATTTACACTTATTTTAATAATACATTATCTTTTATTTCTTGTTTAGATATGGTCTTTTTCCCAATCATCAGTAGTTTCATTATTTTGTTTAAAAAGTATTCTGGTGCCATGTATCCAGATGTTCCACTGGTATCTGCCAAATTATAAGGAATCCAAAATGCAATATTTAAATCTGTCAATCTAAGATATCCTTCAGAGCCAAATACTAAATTCTCAGGTTTGAAATCTATGTGGATAATATTTTAAGATTGCAAATATTCTACTGCAATTATGATATCTGCACTAAAAAAGAACTATAAATGCTAGTTTCCTCCTCTGAGAATTTTTTATAATTTCCAATATGAAAACGTAGATCTCTCCTCCACTTAATAAATCTATAACAAGATAGAAGTTTCTCTATCTTAAAATGCAACTATCATATTGATTAGAGATGGATTTCTTAGTTCACTTAATAATATTATATAAAATTCTAATTAATTGATGAATCTTGAAATTCCATCATATCATTATTATTGCAATTACCTGGAATTTAATTAATAATATATTGTAATGGTTATTTTGATAGATATATATTTGCATATAAATTTTTTGCAAATTAAAATAAAAAAAGTATTCAATATTTTATTTTGGGCAAGACATCACTTTCTTCAATTTTATCCTACCCTACTATTGTTATTAAAGAACATTTTGGTTTTTCGAATTCCTTTTTCAATTTACTCTCTCCTTTAACTTTTAAACTACTTTCTATATCTGCATATTTCAGTAATAATGTCTTGGAATTTATATTTATTCTTTATGAATTGTTAGATAAATCATCTTCCTTTTCTATTGTGTAACTTTATCCTCTCAATTATTAGTACCAATTTTATGGTGGAGATGGTAATTCATTAAGAATCTACTTTTTTAGTCTATAAGCTGTTCAACTAATATTTTTATATCTCATTACCTGAACTCTTTTATAATAAAGTAAGTTTGTCTCTGCTTCTTGCCTAACATTTACTTTAAATTGTCATATTAACTAATTCCCAAGATTATTCACGTTCTTGAAAAGAAGTTATAACTCTTTATTATCTAGTATTTGCATTTCTTTCAAATAAATTTAATTACTTTTCTAATTTTAATTCTTCCATCTCATTTCTTTGTATTCTATTTTTTGTTTCCTATAAATATTATTCTACATTAACATTTGCATGATGATTTACTAATGTTGCCATTGTAGATTTATTATGAGAAACTTATCGAGATAATATATTTGAATGTATAGGATCATGAAAAAGTGGAATCTTATTGGATGATTATGATTTCTTCATATTAGAGAGATTTGAATAGGATTGTTTCATTTTTTAATACATAATTGAGTTCTTCATTTTAGGTGAATTAGATAGTTTAGATTCTTCTATTTTCTTTTTTATTTTTTCAATAACATCTGGTTTTCCAACAACACTTCGAGCAATAATTTTATTACTATTATCATATTATGGTCCATAATAAGGATTATGTTCTTCGAATATGTTATTAGAGAGTTATGGTTGTTACTTATAACTCTTAATTTTATGCATCAAGAACAAGGTTTTTGATTATTAGAGATGATCTTGCATTAAAATATATTTATTTCACTATAATTAAACAATTCTATAGGATGAACGACGACTGATATCTCTTTTATTATAATTAGAGTAATTTATATCTTGGAGTGGTTGTTACACAAGATCTTAAGGTAGTATCATTAGATCTCTGGCTTCTTCTGATTCCAATTTTAATTTACTATTTCCATTTACAATAATATAATCAGAGTCATAATATTTTTTACTTAATCTCTAATTGATCATATTCTTAAATCTGTCACTGCAAATTTTAACATTATTTCCACTCTTAATTATTTCNCCTGGAATTTAATTAATAATATATTGTAATGGTTATTTTGATAGATATATATTTGCATATAAATTTTTTGCAAATTAAAATAAAAAAAGTATTCAATATTTTATTTTGGGCAAGACATCACTTTCTTCAATTTTATCCTACCCTACTATTGTTATTAAAGAACATTTTGGTTTTTCGAATTCCTTTTTCAATTTACTCTCTCCTTTAACTTTTAAACTACTTTCTATATCTGCATATTTCAGTAATAATGTCTTGGAATTTATATTTATTCTTTATGAATTGTTAGATAAATCATCTTCCTTTTCTATTGTGTAACTTTATCCTCTCAATTATTAGTACCAATTTTATGGTGGAGATGGTAATTCATTAAGAATCTACTTTTTTAGTCTATAAGCTGTTCAACTAATATTTTTATATCTCATTACCTGAACTCTTTTATAATAAAGTAAGTTTGTCTCTGCTTCTTGCCTAACATTTACTTTAAATTGTCATATTAACTAATTCCCAAGATTATTCACGTTCTTGAAAAGAAGTTATAACTCTTTATTATCTAGTATTTGCATTTCTTTCAAATAAATTTAATTACTTTTCTAATTTTAATTCTTCCATCTCATTTCTTTGTATTCTATTTTTTGTTTCCTATAAATATTATTCTACATTAACATTTGCATGATGATTTACTAATGTTGCCATTGTAGATTTATTATGAGAAACTTATCGAGATAATATATTTGAATGTATAGGATCATGAAAAAGTGGAATCTTATTGGATGATTATGATTTCTTCATATTAGAGAGATTTGAATAGGATTGTTTCATTTTTTAATACATAATTGAGTTCTTCATTTTAGGTGAATTAGATAGTTTAGATTCTTCTATTTTCTTTTTTATTTTTTCAATAACATCTGGTTTTCCAACAACACTTCGAGCAATAATTTTATTACTATTATCATATTATGGTCCATAATAAGGATTATGTTCTTCGAATATGTTATTAGAGAGTTATGGTTGTTACTTATAACTCTTAATTTTATGCATCAAGAACAAGGTTTTTGATTATTAGAGATGATCTTGCATTAAAATATATTTATTTCACTATAATTAAACAATTCTATAGGATGAACGACGACTGATATCTCTTTTATTATAATTAGAGTAATTTATATCTTGGAGTGGTTGTTACACAAGATCTTAAGGTAGTATCATTAGATCTCTGGCTTCTTCTGATTCCAATTTTAATTTACTATTTCCATTTACAATAATATAATCAGAGTCATAATATTTTTTACTTAATCTCTAATTGATCATATTCTTAAATCTGTCACTGCAAATTTTAACATTATTTCCACTCTTAATTATTTCTATAGTTGGATCATTTGATTAATCATATTTTCTCAAATTACCATACCATTCCTTAATATTTGGTTCTTTCTATAAAACATTTAGATTATCCAACAATTATTTCTTTTCTCTATATCCTTAGCTTTTATTAAGTAAAGTATTATTATGTGATCGTTCACATCTATTTGCTAATTACTATTCTAATTAATTCCATTTTTCTTTCTATTCTTCACAGGATTCTAAGATTCTTCTTTATCTAGTTAATAGATTTCTTTCTATGATAGGTAATGTCTCTTCTTTAGATCTAAGTGAGATTTCTGATAGTTTAATATTGTTTTGTATTTTATCAATATACAATCTAATATCCTCCTTTGAAATTTTGCTTAATTTTACAGGTTCTCTTTTTTTCTTTAAGTTTTATTTCTTATTGAATTAAGTAATAACAAAAGATCTTAACATAGAAGAATCATCATCAGTAGCTCTACTATCTTATTAAACTTTGCCTTCTCTCTAAAATTAATCAATTGTTCCAACTATCGATCTCTTTATAATATCTCCTCTTTTATCATAACGTGGTCCTTAGATGATTCCATTGAGTTGTTAATCTTGAAAGATACTTGTATTTTATGATTTAGATCTCTATATTTCTTTACATGGTTATGCAACAAATAGTACTTTAATATTTTATATACTCATTATTTGATATGTTTCCATATCTCACTAATACTATTAAAGACTCTAACTAACGGGTTCAATTTTGATGTTCTTTCTCTAACTTGGTTCCTCATATATAACTTATGATTTGGTGAATTCTAATTGTTTTGGTGAAGTAAATTAATGATATGCTGGAGTTTGGATATTAATAGGAAATTATCTCATTGGAGATCTAACAATATATTATTTATTCTGATTTTCTAATGGCATTCCTATACAATACTTAAGACCTTCATTAAGACGACCTACAAATTTTTCAATAGATAATTAAATATTTCTATAATCTTATTTCCATTTTGAATCTACATAATCTAAAAAGCCTTAAACATCATCTACTTCTCTAGCATTTAAAGTCTCTATTTACATATCAAATAAATGACAAAATTCAGCTGTAAATTAATTATGAAAATATGACTTAATCATTTTTAAAAAGTTATCTTTCATTAATTCTAATAAACGAATTTTTTTTAATAATATAGCACTTTCTTTGTTATTAGACATCTCTAATTCTCTTTTTTAAGCAAATAATTCTATTTATTAAAATGCATTTTCAATATCTGTTTCCAAATTTAAAGATGACTTTAATTATCCATCAAGTTCACTTAATTAAGCAATAAAATTAATTCTCTCATTTTCCTTATCTTCTTTTAATTATTCATGTTATTAAATTAATTATGTTTTATTTTCTTCTATTTTTTTTGAAACATTTCTTAAACATCTTTCAATTCCTTCTTATAAATAATCATCATATTATTCATTCTCAAAAACATAATCTTATTCTCCATTTACTAATTATAATAATCCTGCTGTTGAATTCTTTTTATTACTAAAATAAGTAGCTAAACATCCATTCTCATATATATTATATAATTCCTCTAATTTATGATTTCGATCATGCAATTTTACTGCACAAGTTGAACACATAACTCTTTATTAACAATTTCTTTCTAAACATATCCAACTAAGTGATTATTTTGGATGATTCTTACACATTTATTCACTTTCCATTTTTAACGATTATCTAATTAATTATAAGGAAACTTAATGAATTAAAATAAACTAAAATCAATTCAATATAATATCATTACTAAATTAACATACTCTAATAATATAATTATTAATAGCAACATGATATGACGTATATTAAGAGCATGTCTTATCGTTTTGGAGATTGTCAAAAAACGGATAATTTAAATAAAAACGAAAACTAAAACAAACTTATCATCTATGTCAAGAAGTCAAATTATAAAAAATGAGGATGATTCATATGATTGTAAATCAAACAGAAACAATTCAAAGTATAAACAAACTATGTAATCACATTCAGATTATTATGGAAATGATAAAAAAAAAGTAGGTCGTTGGACACCTGAAGAAGATGATAAGCTTTAAAAATTGATTGAAGGTATTCAATTTGAATTTATCTATAGAATATGGAGAAAAGAGTTGGAGAATGATAAGTAATGTAATGGAAGGTAGAAGTGCAATTTAATGTTTACATAGATGGACTAAAATACTAAGACCTGGACTCAAGAAAGGTACAAATTAATAATTTAAATATTTAGGACCTTGGTAAGATAATGAAGATGAAAAACTATTAGAATGGGTTAAGAATAATGGACCTAGTAAATGGTCTTTATGTTCTGAAAACATTGCAGGACGTTCAGGAAAATAATGTAGAGAAAGGTGGTTTAATAATTTAAATCCAAATGTGAAAAAGGGAGGATGGACATCAGGTAATTATAAATACTATAAATTTAGATGAAGATCATGAAATTTTCAAGGGTTATTTAACATATTCATCCTCTTGGTCTAAAATTGCTAAGAATCTTTAAGGAAGAACTGAAAATTCTGTTAAAAATCGTTTTTATTCAACTGTTAGAAAATTATTAGCTGATTAAGAAAAGAATGGACTATCTCTATAAGTATAACAAAATTATATATATTAGATGTTAGAAATTAAATAAGAAAATGGAGCATCAGCATTATAAACTTTCTTAAAAGAACATCTTTAAAAGTTTGAATAATAAATGTAAATTTAAATGGATGAGGAATAACCAGTATAAGATTAAAAATTAGAAGAATTTGCTATCAAATCAGAAGATGATAGTATGTCTAAAAGAAAAATACATACTGAAAATTATTAAGAATAAAATTTACTTTATAGATTATTATAATCATAAGGAGGTCCTATTAAAAGAACTTCTTGTATGAAAGATTATTCAACTATATATAAGAAATATAAAAAGAGATATAATTAAAGAAAGAAAGATAAAAAATAATCTGAAAAAGTTGAGAATCTTAAAAAGATTATAATGAAAAAAGAAATATGTAAATCTACATCTGAATTATAAGAATTAAATTTAAAATAAAATCTCAAACAATATCTTATTAATTTTCAAGAATGTAAATAAGAAGTCTAATCTTAAAATTAAGATTCAGATAGAATGAATGAATTTTAAGATAAACTATTAACTTTCTTTAATTCATAATTAGATTAAATTATGAAAAAAGTATATACTGAAATGGATAATACAAAATAATAAAAAACAATTTAAGATGAATAATAAGATTAAATAATTAATTAATTAAAGAGTTAGAATTCAAAAAGGTAAATTACTAAACCTCTTAAAGTAAAGGAAGATGAAGCCTAATAAAATCAATAAGTTATGAATACATTTCTAAAAAAATTCATTGAATTTGAGAATAAAAGTGATAAAAAAGAAATCACTAATTTTATGATGTAAAATCATAAAATTGATTCAAAAATGATATTTCTAATTAGTTAATTGCATACTTTAGAAAATATGTTAGGTGATACAAAAAAAGAATTTAGCCGATTAGAATCCAGCTTATATGATAAAATTCATAATACTTCCTTTCAATCTAGTAATTCAAGTGAAAATAATTGATACTCAAATGATAATAATATATCTTTTTTTGTTGAATCGATTTTTATAATATATTCTAATAATTTTTTCATATCATATAAATATATATAAATACCTTAGCAGTCCAATTAATTGACATTTTTTTTATTCATAACTTCATTCAAGTAAAGCTAATTAAAGAAGAGATAATAAATAAATTAACAAAATAAAACTTAAATTTGATTTAATTTTGCTAAAAAATGTTTATTAAATGATTAAACCAAAACAAAGCATTTAAATTAATTATATAAACATCATGATATTTCATATATAATAAATAAAAAACAAAGAAAATAATGAAGTCAAATGAATAACTATACTTTATACTTAGATAATAAATATTTTTCATCAATAGATCATAATTAAAACAATTGGTAATTAATTTAATGATATGCAACCTTTTAATTTGAACTTAAATCAAATTATCGTATAATACAAATAGAATTATATAAAATCAAATTTTAAATTCTATACTCCAGATATAAATCAATAATTTTATTATCTATGAGAACCTCAAAGTATTAAATTCTTTTACTTAAATTTCAAGATTAGAATAATTATTACGAAATATAAAGATATTAATGCAACCCTAAATAGAAATGAGAATTATTGTAATTATTATAATAATATCTAATATTAATTATAGGTTTTATCTCTAAGTGTAAAAATGTTTATAAATATCAATGAATAAATTACTATCTTAACACATATTTATACTATTTCTTCAATTTTATTATTTTATTATATTATATATGAGGTATTACAATATTATTTACTATTTGATATACAATTTTATTCAAAAATCAACTTTTTATTTAAATTCACATTTTAAACAACAATCTATTTTCTTGTGTTATAAGACTGTAAGGCCAGAGGAACAGAATTTACATTAACATCCACAAGTTTATTATTTCTCAACTGGATTTTCTTAAGCATAAGATCTATAGATCTAAAGATTAATGAAATATAATACATATAAATCTCTGGATTTACAAACCAATTAACAAACATGCATTGGGTGATAACCAAGATTTTTACAATGAGTACATTTGCATTAACAAACCCTCATTAAATGCACTTCCTTATCGAGATCAGCTCCATTTACAATATCCATAGCATTTAGTGTTTAAATCTTATCTAAGTTATTAATTGATAATACCTCAGGATTTCCATATTACCTAAAACCTCTTTGTAAAAATATAGATGATCTTTAAGTTGTGAGAAATGCTGATATGAAATTTTAGGAAGTTCGACTAAAAACAGTGCCTTATGCATATCCTTTATCAAAAAGAAAATAAGCATTCCTATATTGATTATAAACATTTACTTTAGCAAGATTGATCTTAGAGAAACTACATTAGCTTTCTCAGTGAAATTATGATGAAATTTACATTTATCTTAATGCACTAATTCTTAATGACATTTTTATGAACATGTGGCACTTCCACAAGCTGCACAAATAGCTGTATTTTCATCAGCTGGTTTGCCACATATACATTTTAATTTGTTTATGTCTAATTAAATTAATGATCCTGTATTAAATGCTCTTAATGTCTCTAAATTTAATTTATCTTTCTCATTCAAGTCTTCATTATTTTATATATTCATATTTGCATAAGAATGATGGTTAACTATAGAAAAATAATAATATTTACTTTTCACAGGATGATGTTGACTCATATGGTCATTACCACACATATAACACAAACTTTAGTCACAACTTTGACAATATTCATTAGCTAATATATTGGGGAATTTTGTGTGATCATGCTATAAACATTCTTTAGGAGTTCTTTTAATTAATTTCCCAAGAAATCTGAACATAAATATAATTTATTTTATAATTCTTTATGTAAAACGATCATTCATTTTTAAAAAGTGATTATTATTTATTTTTTATTCTAGAACTAATAATAATATGAATGAAAAACATGATATAAAAGATTAAAAATTTGAGTAAATAAGAGTTATTGAGATATTTAGAAAAAAAATAAAATAAAAATATTAAATGATTTGAATATAAATAATGAAAAGTAGCCACAAAATAAACAAACTATGATTGATGATACAAAATAATGAGTAAATTCGCATTATTTTCAAGTATTCAAAAGAAATTTTAAGATTCAAATTAGAAAATGTTTGAGAATAGCTAATGATGTAATGCTTAATTAATTTACAATTAATTATTAAGGGGGGTTAACCTTATTATTAGAATCAATAAATTTCAGTAATTATTTTATTTGAGATTATATCGTCTTCTGATTCAAGGGAAATCAAATATGAACATTAGAATGCTTAATAGCAACAATTTAAATGATATAGAAATTACTCTGGAGTCAAATAATATAAATCTCATTTAAAAAACAGTAATGAATATATATTTTAAATTAGGTTAAATTTTAATCATAGAATAGAAGGATTGTGAATAAAATAAATAAGTTTTCTATGATTATATAAAAATAGAAACAAATATATAATATCGTTCATTTATTTGATCAATATTGAAAACGAAATATAACAAAATTAGTTCAATTTTATGATTATACTTATCTTATCCTTTGAGATTCTCTTTTTTTGGAAATCTTTTTATGAATTTAAGGACTTCTTTCAACAGAGTTTGTGTCTTCCTGTTAATATTTATCACACGAGATTTCTTGAGCTTTAATCAATTTTTTATGAATTAATTAAGATACGATGAGAATTTTGTCTGAAAAAACAAGTCTTGTATCATTTTAATAGTGCATGATTGCCAATGCCAATTCAAAATGAGAATATTGATAAATTTCGAAGTCTATTGACATATTATTTGATTATTATACCCATAAGAAGGAACATTAATAAATTCTAAACATTTTCATCTACTTCAACATTCATAGCTAATAAATAATCTGAAGATGTTATAAGATTCAATTAATATCCCATGGCTTTCAAAATTTATTCCTCCATTTCATTATATTCCTCATCATTGTATAGTGCTTAGCTTTCTTGATTATACAATTTTATTTATGACAAGATTTCAGTCTCATAAAACTATTACTATAAGATGTTATGCATACTTTTGAGGCTATTGAATATGCTGATATTCCCAACAGTTAAAGGTATTCTGTAGAGATATTAAAATAATTTAAGTATGTATCAATAATAAGGACAGTCAGTTCTAAAGTTTTTATTGAATGTTTGAATTGAGATGATTGCTAATTATAATATTAAATTAATACTGTGATAATCCATTAGATTAGAATATCTCTTCTAGAAGGAATTGAGGAATCATATGAGTAGTATGGATTATGCTTATTCAATGCTTTTGGCTAAGAGATTTATGAAAAATGATACTTTATCTCTATTGATTAAATCTCTTAAATCAGCAAAAGAAAACATGGCTGTACAAATTAAAAAAATAATTATACAGCAAAACTCATTTAAATTTGAAATTTATAGATTAATTATTACTAAAGAAAAACATATCCAAAATTTAACATGATTCACATAAACATTAAGATACTAAATTTTAAAATTGTTTTACTTAGAATCAAATATTTTTATATATTTTTCCTTTTCTTCCGAATGCAATCTAAATACAATAATTTAATAAGCTTTCTCTTTTAAAAAAACATCCATTTTTGACCTTGTAATAGTTTACAAAAAGACATAAAAATTAAGGAACTAAGATTTACATCAATACATCTAATGTCAAAAATTATTAAAAATATATATACTATAATTACAACAATATAATTAGGACATCATTTAATTCAAAGAAAAAAAAAGTAATTATATTTAAATAATAATAATAATATAAGACTTTGATTATCAATTAATTAATATCAAAAGTCAATTATATTGTGTATAATATGATAAAAATTGATCATCTTACTTTATATCTGATTTATTAAAAATTATTTATTACACTTCTTTAATATTTATATATCATTATTTAGATTTACTTAATAAACTTGGTTAAATAGTTAATTTTACTCTTCCTGAAAAGTTTTCAACTGACCAAGTATAATCATCTGCTTAAGATAAGGAACATATAATCTTGGATTTACAAGTAAATCTAAAACCAACTGTAAATTCATTTATTGAAGGTATATAGATTATTGTCTTACAATTAGGAATTGGATTATATTTCAAACTAAATTTTTATTTTTTATGATTATATTTTGAATAATATATTTTTGAAGCACAAATTGACTAAGCATAAGGCCTAACTAAAGCTTAGATTTTATGTTTTTAAAGTGATTCATCTTCATTAAAAATACTTTCATCAAGCATACTTGAAGAAGAAGTATAATCATTAAAACCTTTATATTACCAATAAGCCCATGATTATAAATAATTATCAGCTTTATCTAACATAAAACTTAAAATATTTTGAGCAAATGGTTCATTAGGTAAAGATCCAAATTCTGTTAACATTGCTCCAGTTTTAAGATGATTCATATTTAATTTTTTTAAAGGATACATAAAATTATAAACTTATTTACATAAAAATGGTGATATTTTCCCTATAATTATATTATAATTGAATACATATTCCACAATAGAGATGATAACTCAAAACTTCTTTTTTTTAATACTTCTTTCCTCCAATATTATGTTTAAATCCTCCTCCAAATGCATCTGTGAAATAAGGTTCAAAAAATACTAGTTTTTGTGTATCAACTTCTCTTATATATTTATTAATGAGTTAATAGAATGGCATAATTAAATGATTATTAGCCCAACCAGGCCATAAATATTAAATTTTATTTTTTTGATAATTTCCTGATGATGGTTCATTCATGATTTCATATCCTAATACATTCCATTCATCTCTATGTATTTCAGCAACTCTTTTCCAAAACAAACCAAACATATCAGCTACTCCATTTTCATTTTTTAAAATTGATTCCATATTTCTACCTACATCAGAAGTTAAATAAAATTTTGCAAAATTTCCCACTTTTAAACAATCTTCAATTAAGGGATATCCTTAATCATCATAATTAAGTTCAATTTTTTGAGGAGAAGGAAAGTCAAATTTAGTTACTGCCCAATCTGGAAATCCTTCTCCACAAAATTGTCTATTTAATAAATCTTAATGAGCATCAAGAATCACATAAATATCATATTTTGCAGCCAATCTTACTATTTCTCTTATATGTAAAATATATTCGTCATTTAAAATTCCTTTATTTGGCATACCAGCTTCAAATGCAACATGTAATCTTATAATATTGAAACTAAATATCAATTTATTTATTAACTTACCCCAAACTAGTAATGAGCTAGCAATCCAAATCAGAAAAAGATGTCATAACATCAAAATGATCCATTATTGGATAATATGGAGGTGGTTTGTAAACAATATTCAATCCATGAAATATTCTTATTGTTCCATCCTAGATATTAAATTATTATATACATCATCTACAAAATTTCCCTGCTTGTTAATGTGAAAGCAATGAATAATTCCTATAACACTAAATAAAATAATCATGTTTATATATATAATATTATGTAAATATAGTATCTTTTTTATATAATAATTAAAAATAAAATTATTCATGAAAACTTATATCACTATTTTATGATATAGAATTTCTACTTCAATAGGAATGTTATTTGATATATATTTTATATGAAATTCTTAAATTAATATTGAGAATATAAGCTATAAATATTTTATTCTAAAGTTATGGGATCTTATAGTCATTAAAAAATGAATCATTTTATAAATGATTATATTAGATTACATTACTCTTTTACTGATTCATTATTTTATCATTTTGACAGAATTATAAATTTTAATAATTTACTTCTTATGATAATTACACTGTCTAATTAAAATCTATGTAAGTATTTTTTAAAATAAAATTAATTTCTTTTCTTAAAGTAGTTCATAACTTAAAAGAGTTAAAATTAGAAACATAATTTAATATATTAGATTGAAAATATTTAAAATATATTTTATTCTGAAATTAAATAATATCAATCTAATGTTCTAGTTAGAATACAATTTAGGATCATTGTTGAGATTATTAAATTTTTTTAGATATAAAAAGATGAAATAATAATAAAGGAATTATTTTTGAATAGTAAAAGTGAATTATATTTTATAATTCAAATGTATTTTTTCAATTAATTTATTTTTTAAAATATGCAAACAACAAATGGCATTTCTATATTGTAAATTAAACATACCCAAGTATCAGTTTGCAATAATAAAAAAAAGGAAGAATTGATATAATTTGATTAATTTGATGAGGATTTGATACCAAAAAGTAAACTATTCTCTCCCATGAACATAAATTTAAATCTGAAATGTGTTGAAACTTTTGGGAATAATAAAATTTATGATATCAATGAAACAAGAACAAATGATTAGTAAAATAAATCGGATTCATTACTTGATTCACTGAATTCAAAGTAAAAAATAGAAACTTCTCTATAACAAGTTAACGTAATGACTGAGAGATTAAATAATCAAAATTTAATATTCTATGCTCCTCAATATATACCTGATATTCAATAATTCTTAACTTCCCCTATTCCTATTGGTATCATTATAATACTTATTTGTTATTAGGTAAGATAGTATAATGTACTTTCATTAAAAATAAAAAGGGATTATGCTATTTCTATCCTAAATTTGAATTATTCTTCTCAGAAAGTTTAAAATTTCTGTGTGCTGGAAAGAGACAAACTACAAAGAGGAAATCAAATTATATAATTTCTAGTGATGTAGACATATTTAATTCTAACAACAAATCAGTATGTTTAGGTAATTTGAAATATGGAACAGCAGAAAACTAATTTAATTTATATGATAATGGAAATGATCCTAATAAAACTAATCAATTAGAAACAACAAGAAAAGAATATGCAGTTTATTCATATAAAAAATCAAGTTTAGGTGTTAAATCAATTAATGTTTTAATTCCTTCAATTATAAATGGATAACAATAAGATTTTAAACCTATTTCTTAAAATGAAGGTATCTAAAAAGCATTTATTTAATAAAAGAATGAAAATGTAATGTAATTAGTCTCAAAACCTCCTACATTTAGTGAAGAAAAGAATGCATATTAATTAAAATTCACATAAAGAGTAAGATCTGCTTCAAATAAAAATTTTATTCTCATATCAAATAATTAAGAGAATGATCAAGAATTTTTAATGTAATTTGGCAAATGTGGTGAATACTATTATAATTTAGATATTTGTTATCCGCTTTCAATATTATAAGCATTTGCACTATGTATCACTTAATTTGAAGTTAAGTTAAAATGAATTGCCATTTTATATACATATCTCTTAATTTACTCATATATATATATTTTTTTATTATAAAATAATATATCTGTAGCTATGTTCTATTTAATATTGATAATTATGTATCCTTGAAAAATATAAAAGCCTATTATAATGATAGAAATGCGATATCCATCAGAATCTATGGATTTTAGATTTAAAAATTCAAAGATTAAACTAAGTTATGATATAAAAAGAATTAGTACTTATTACATTAAAATAATAGAATTATGTGTATTCATAGCCTATGTATTCTTTATGATAAAAAATTAATATTATTATTATGATTTAATAATTTAACTTGGAATCAAACTATTAATCACTACCTGATAGTATAATATTATAAACAATTTCATACGAACCTGATGTCAAAATAGTGGATTCCAATAATAAATAATTTATACTTCCAGTATTTATTGTCTCTATATTAGACTATTTCCAAATCATGTATTCATCCAAAAGTTTGTTTTGAATTTGAGACTATAGTTGAAAAAATAAAATAAGAGGGTTGTTGGAAATGTGAGGCTTGCAAAACTGTCTGTTAATTAACAGATTTGTGTAAAGATTTTAGATATTAGGTAAATATTGAATTTAATGAATTTGTTACTAATGTAATGATAATTGAAGGAAAATTATTTAATAAATCCTCTAGAAAAAAAAGATATTTAGATCATTTTACCAAAATCAATATTAAAACTAATTTAAAAAAATTATATCAAAGGTATGTCGCAACAGAATCATCTATAAATTAAATAATTATTAATGATTAAAAAAATTCTTAAAAGATAAATTCAGGTACTAATAAAAGAATTTAATATTGGGCTTTTTGTTTGTAAGATAAAGTAAAAATTACTATCCCTGTAAGAATTATAGGATGCAGACATCCTGAATGTTATGAATTAACAAGTCTTTTATAATTACAAGTTCAAGGACAAGAATAATTTTATGTTTGTGTATATCCAGGATGTGATAACCCAAAAAAGAGAATAGATATTTCTACAATTGATAGTTTATTCAGTTCTCTTTCCATAGATGAAGATTTATTGTAAATTATAAAAAAAAGCAGTCCTAGTTCAGTGAAATTTATCTTTAACTATTAAACTTAAAAATTTGAAGAAGATGTTTTTAGAGAAAAAGGAAGGATAATTGATCCTACAATCAATAATTTTTATTAAAAAAATTAAAAAGATATAAATATACCCTTTGATGAATTTTAAAAATAAGTATAATAACAAGTAGCACAAATATGTTAAAATGATATTTTTGTAGAATAACCATAATTAGAGTAAGAATTAAGTTCTTATAAATTTCGCAATTTAGAAATAAATATGAAAGATTAACTAACAGGTATGATAATTGAACAACCTGTTAGATGTAAATATTGTACCAATTTTTCAAAATGTTTAGATTTGAAAAGTTATGCTTGCGAATTTATTAAAAAGAAATTAATCAAAAAAACAGATTTTTTCATGTGTCCTCTATGTTAAACTTAATTTAAAAGTACTTTGGCTTCATGTGCATTATCAACGAACATCTACTTAGATTAAAATTTATTATTTCGTATGTTTAAAGACTTGTCTTACATATAAACATAAAAATTTTCATATTTAGGACAATAGTATATGATTCAAGAATTCTAGGAAAGATAAGTATTAACAAAAGCAGATTATATAAATTCATTAAAATAAAAAGGATAAAGCTTAAAAATAGAATTCAAAACAATTTTTTGTTCTTTAAATAAAAATTAAAAATTGTAAATTCCACTTTTATTACATAACTGTCCTAAAAAATTAGTAATTGATTTCTACACTTTATATCAATAAATGGAATAATGTAATTTTAAACTTGATAATGGTTTGATTTTATGTAAATGCTCAAGTTGTAATACTACTCCTATTAAAAAATTGGCAGGCTAAATTTTTTATCATGAAGCCTTTGATTATGCTCTAAAAAAATTCTATTAATCTAAAAGCAATTCAATTTCATTTTCTTATGATTTTATAAATGACAACTTAACTTCAAGTTAAGCAGTTGCTGACTCTTCTGCATTATAAAATATTACTACTCCTTAGAGAATGGGATTTTTAGAAATGTTAAATGATGAAGAATATTAGAATATATTTGGTAAAAAATTATTGGAAGGAAAAACTTTTTAAATCTTAAATATAACTGAAAATTTTTTTGATGGAATAGATGTATAATTTAATTAAAAAGGAGTACAAAATAATCTATAAGAGAAAAAAGATTCTATGAACTAAAATTTTAAGAATGATTAAACCTTAAGTAAATTCAAGTTTGAAATTAAAGGAATCTAACTATAACTTAATGATAATCCAATAATATCTAATTTAGATTTTTAGGCATGATAAAAGTTAAATATGATATAGTTCATTTTTTATTTATAAATGATTTATCATAATATAAATCAAGAGGATTCTACTTCATTGTTAATAATAACAGCAATACTCTAATCTTGATTTTTTATTTATTCTTAATGTTAATCACTTTTTAATTTTTCCTAATGATTTATTATTTCTTTTTACATTTTAATCAGATTTACCATTCTTTTTTTTTTACAATTATCTATATCCAAAACATGTTCCTAATATCATTAACAATATGCCTATTCCACTAAGATAATAGATAAATAATGGTTATGTTTAATATTCCAATCTACATCCTACTGGAGATTTCAATTAAAAACTTTATTTTAGATTCAATTATACGCAGTATGACAATTATCTTCTGATATCAATACAAAATTTTAATCTTTTTCTAAACTGCATAAAATCTTAAAATCTACACTTTTTCTCTAATTATTTTCGCATTAAGATCCTTATGAATAAGTAATTTGCAATCCGTTTTCAATCAGAGAAATTTATTAATTGTCAGGTTTTCCCAATATTTCACAAGAATCAGTTAATATTCCCATTACTTCTAATGCTTAATAAGCTCCACTTTAACCTTGACAATGTTTTGGGTGATTTCCACAAAAATTAAACTCTAATTTTATTGATAAACTTACAATAAGCCATCTTGAAAAAACTTGAATCTGCAGATGCTTTCACTATATATGGTTCAGTTCTTTAAAGTTTTGTTAAATTGTAATAATGGTCTTCTTATTTGAACTCACAACCAAAAATAGTAGTAATTTAAAACACAAATAATAAAGAAATCATTAATTATAATATTGTATTTTTAAATAAATTCATATTCATAAAACAACTATTAAATAAGTTATATTCAAAAAATAAATGTCATTTGTAATTTAAGTAATTAAGTAAATTTATAAAAAGTATTGTTATTATAATATACTTATTTATAATTTATATGTTAATAAATTAGTTTATTTATTAATTTTTATTAATAGAATTATTTTTTAATTTACAGAGACCCCTATTAATATTATTGATAGTGAATTTTCAAGGTGAGTTTAGTTTTTTATCAAATTTAATTACAATTAGTCTTTAATTTCATTATTTGATTGATTAAACAGAAGTTTTAAGATCATTTAGTTTCTGCTCCATTGAAATATTAAAATTATTATTTTCTTATAGAATTATCTTGCACTTTTTTTAGCTTTACGATAAATTAAAATATTCATTTTATATTATGGAGCCTTACTTTCATTCAACATTCTTTTGCATACTTAGTTTATAAGAGATTTTGGTTTCATTTAGCATTCATAAATATTTTTTAGAATATCCTATTTATTCTTAAATTAAAAATTGTATAATATTGTGAAAAATATCATAAATCATTATTATTAATATCTCATTTAATAAAGTTATAAGGGTATTAATTAGCCATCTATATAAATAAATTGCTAATTCCCCCTCTAAGTAGTATCTATAGATTAACTTCCTTCGTGAATTAAAGGGCTTTAGGTTTCTGAATCTTAGTTATTTTAATTATTAATAAAGTTTTATTGAAGTGGTCGATGATGTTATGATTATTAATCTGCTCTAAATGGCTATGAGTATTAGTATGATGGCTACTAGTATTATTGCTCTTACTATTATAAGAATAATTAATTTTATTATTATTATTAAAATTATTATAATTAATATTATTACTATTATAATTACAATGATTATTATTATTATTATTCATCATACTATTATACTAATAATTATAATTATTATATTTATTAGTGTTATTATTACAATTATTATTACTAATACAACAATTATTATTATTATTAAAATTATTATTCCTCTTTTTCTTTTTTTTACTCATTGTTTATTTACTCATTGTATTATTAAGCTATTTTTTTTATTTGAGGAATTTCATCAGTAACTCTTTTATTATCAAAATATTGACTAGTAAGTTAGGTTTTAATATGTTCATTTAATTTTTAATCTTAAAAAGGAATTGCTAATATTTGATAATAAATAGGATCATAATAAAAGTCTGTTATTTCTAAAGATTCTTTTGCCTTACAAAATGTGCAATTACAGTTTGGAAAATTATAAAAACTAAATTGATTTTTCTCTAAAAACTTTTTTAGGGATTTCAATTCAACTGTTCTTTTTTCTTTACAAAATATCAATGTCAGAGGTTACTTAATCTTTTTACTACTCAATGCACAAAACTAGTTAGAATAAGGGTAAATGTTATTTTTTGAATAGTTTATTTTCACTTATTTAAAGTCAATCTGTTGATGTAAAAAGAAAAATTTCTAAAATTTATCATCATCTTTATTGTATTCAAATTATTAATGGTCTTATTTTTTTAATTAAGCATTATATAGATACCTATCAAAATAAATAATTTTTTCCAAAGAACCATAATTATAATGTATATAATTGCAACCTGGACAAGTAAATGAATTTGATTTTGATTGGTTAATATGTTATAAAATAAATTCCTCTATGTCTTTAACATTTTATAATTCACAATAAATGCACCTACAAGGAAATTAAATTTAATTTAAATTAACTTTGTATTTAGAAAAATTTAATTTATTTTATAATTAGTTACTCATTTCTTTATTAATTATTTTCTTAAGTAATATTAATATTTAATAGTCAATAGTTGGTTCATTTTATAAAGTAGTTTTTAAAACTTGATTTTATAAAAAGTCCTAAATTTTTATTTTTTAATATTCAAATCCACTTTTCTAAAAATCCCATACTAATTTCATAGAAAATGGATAGTCTTTTGAAATAGCACTGGCAAGTTCATAAGGAAATATCAATTACTACTTTAATTAATTTATGTCAAGATGAATTTAAGTCTTACAATTTAATTTAAAACATTTAACAAATTTTCTTTAATAAATCTCAGGTAATTTTTTATTATCATTAATTAATTTTAGTATGCTAGTGAATTCATAACAATCTAAATGTTTGCATTCATTTAAATAAATTGGTATGATAATTTTTTAACAATTGATTAAACACTGAAAAGGAAATTCCACAATTCTATTAATATGAATATTATTATTTTAAGTAAGTTCTCTTTATTTTTTATCAATTTCCTCAAGTAAGATAGCTTTTATTTAGTTTCTTTTAGATGGATTTTCAGAGCTCTTAACAACATCTATAAATAATTATTTATATTCTGTATTTTATAGTAATTCTCTAGCTTTTGTTTAAATATCTTTTGAAAAAGAATGGAAAAATAACTGACCTATTATGGAACAACTAAAGCATTTCTCACTCATGCTATATATTATCTTAGAATAAAATTCTTCTCTTTTGATATTTTTTTTGGTTGCTTTTTTTTTGCAATTTTTACATTAGACTTATTCTTTATACAAGAAAATGTCATACAAATCAAATATCTCATGGTTACAATCTTCTATACAAACCTTAAATAAAATATATTATTATACTGGCACTTTGATCTATCTAATTTTTTTATCTCCAAAATTAGATGTTAAATTAACATCTAATTGATCATCTTAATATTTTAATACTTTTCCTCCAGGTTACAACTTAGACAATATTTCTTAGTACTCTGGTAAACTTCTGATTTTTTTTTCTGAATTGGAGTAGTTGATTTGGCTTTAAAGTTTTGTGAAAAATTAATGCTACATAACTATTTTATTTAAATAAATTAATGTATTGTGATTATCAAAGTATTAAACTATTTATAATCAAAATTGATAGAAAATGAGTATTAATTATAGATAAACAAATATTGATAAGAATAATGATAATTTTAATAATTAGAAATCTTAAATTTAGAATATATAATTATTAAAATAAAATGAAAAAACTTATTTCTATTTTGGGGCTTATTATAGCAATTAATATAATATTCTCCCAATTTTTGGATGCTTTTCAATCTTTCTAAAGACCTCTAATAGACTAGAGAATTATAAAAGGGTAAAATTTGTATATATATTTAGTCTAATATATAATGAATATACTAATTATGTTTCATATTTAGCATTAGGCTTGTGGTTACTTTTAAATTATTATTTAGAAGGGTTTCGCTTTAATTCATTTTTAATAATTATTGCCTAATTTTTTTTTTATTTAGACAATGTATTAAATATATTTTTATTTTAGGCTTTTTCATTAAAGAGTATTTTATCTAATGCTTCAGCCTTTTTTGCAATTTTATATATATGGTCATTGATTAAATAGAAAAATTTCTCATTACCTCAACCCAAAGGTAAGTTTAGAACTTGTTATAAACAAATTTAACTGAAAGATAAATATTAGACAATTGTCTCAGTTTACTACCCTTGTCGTGATTAAAAATAAAAAGATTTTGATATTAAATGGCTGCCAAATTAAAAATATTCCAAATAAATATATGAAAGAATGTAGTTACAGTTGAAATGGGTTCCTCATCATTTCATCTTTGATTTTGGTTTAAGTTTTTTAAAGTAAACATTTATTTCAAATAACAAGTTATATAACATTTAAGGCTAGTTTAGAGTAACCTTTAATTAATGATAATCTAGATGTTGTTATTTTTAGTCATGGATTTACTTAACATAGAAATGCTTACACTTTTTTGTGTTAAGAATTAGCAAGTGAAGGAAATGTTGTATTTTCATTATAACATCAAGAAATGGTTTATCCTTGGGATTTAAATAAAACTAAAATTTTAAATTCTGGAAATAAGCCAGAAGTGATGGAGAAATATTAAAATTTAAGAGCAACTCATTTAGATTGGAGATGCGAATAAGTAAAGTATTTAATTTAATAATTAAAATGTGGAAAAATATAAGAAATTTTTGAACATTTTAAGCCTTAAAGTATTAATTTAATAGGACATTCTTTTGGGGGAGCAACTGTTCTCAAAGTTGCTTAAGAAATTAAAGTAGAAAGTGTGATATCATATGATCCATGGTTATTTCCATTCAATAAGGAAGAATTTAAGAAATAAGTTTAAGCAAGAACTTTAATCTTAAGCAAAGATAAGAATAGATTTAAATAAGAAGTTTTTGAGCCAAAGTTATTAATGGATTTTCTTGAAAATAGAAATAATGTTGAGCATTATCGTATAAAAGGGTTAGATCATGCCTATCCTAATGATTTAACTTATTTGTTGGCTACTGAATTGACATTATTTGGAGAATTAAGAAGTAGCAAAAATATTTAGTAAATTAATGAACTTTTGATTTCTTTAGCAAAAAAATTTATTAAGACCATCCCTTTTACTTAAGAAGAAATGAATCAATTTTATTGAATAAATAATATATTTATAATTCTTAAGTTATAGGATATTTAAATTTTCATTCTTCCTATGTCATTATGAGGTTGTATGGAATTAATGAGAATAATAAATTTGCCATTGCTTCCTCAGGTTACAATTTACTTTGAGTCTACATGAAATACCAAGCTCCTAAAGTGATTTCAGTGCATTCATGGAAGATATTATGTCTAGGGAATTCGCTATAAATATGTTGTTCAAAAAGATCATCTGCATATAATAATTCTATAATTTAAGCTCCTATCTCAGAATAATGATTCAAAGTAAAAATCTAATATAATTATAAACTTTACCTTTAAGATATTTTTATTATTAATTCTTTAAAGATGACAGTATAAATTAATTTTTATTTGTTATTCCTCTAGTAATACATTTACAGAGATTAAATTTTGAGTTATTTATTTGTTCTACAAAAATTCCTAATATACCATTTGAATGTCCTATTATAAAAATAATGTAAATTACTTATTATAAATTCTCTAAGCCTTCTTAATTAAAAGGTTGCTCAATTATAACAAATTCAACTGATGGATCTTGTTACTATCCCTACTTTAAAATATCTAAAAATAGTTCTTTTATATCTTCTTCCTGTTCTTCAAACATTGTAAAAAATTCATTGCTTTAATGTAAAACCCAAACCAATCTAGCTATGGTTTCTTCATCAAAATTTATATTTTCTGAACCTTCTTATTCGTATAAATGAGAAAATAATGTGAGTAAGGCTTTTAAATATTTATTATCTTTCTTTTTAAGGCTTTTTAAAGTTTAGCATGCTTTAGGTTAGAGAACTATTTAATCTAATTCATATTCTTCACATTCAAAAATCTATTAAAACACACTCAAAAAATTTTAAAATTATTCCCCCATTGATTCCTCAGATGGCTCATCTTCATAATAGAGTCTTAAAAGATGTTAAGAAGGATCTTTTTCTATTAAATAAAAATCAAAAGGAAACATATCTGTCTTATCAAACAGATAATAAAGTTTCTAATTTTCACTAAAGTTTTATTTTTATGTTCTATTCTAAAAGTTTTATAAAGTGATTGCTTAAAACTGCTCTAACTCATTTTGTGGGTCTTCTTCAGCTAAAATTTTCTCAAAAATCTCTAAAATCAAATCAGTCTCTTCAAAATCAAAAAAATATAATTCATCCTAAAGTATGAATGTTTAAAATAGCTATATTAAATGATCAAATGAATTAAATTCGTAAATTAAATCTTTTACTTAAAACTAAGCTCCATATTTGTAACTTTTAGTAAACTTATTAATCCAAGGTAATGTTTTTTCAGTTATTAATTTTTTAATTTAAATTTCTGTGCCATCCCCTTCCGATAACTCAGGCTATTTCATCTAATTCATTTTATTCTCAGGTTCATTTTATTTTTATTAAGTCTATTTATTTTTGTTTGATGGTACATAACTTGTCATAAAATCAATACCATCATCATCCTCATCTTCAATATCCTCTAAATTAATATCATACTCGTCAAAGTTCTAGATAAAAAAAGATATATACTTGCTACTTTGCGTTTTGACCTTATTAATTTTATATTTTTTCTAATTAGCTATCAGGTTTTTTTATTTGTTAGATATTTTGTTCTGGTTTATTCATCATATCAGGTTTCTATTCGTCTTCATTAATCTATGCTTTGAATTATTCTGGTTATTTTGGTTATTCTTTTCGAGGCTCTGGTTATTTTGGTTATTCTTTAGGTGGTTCAGGCTTTTTAGGAGGCTCAGGTTATTTTGGTTATTCTTTTGGAGGTTCAGGCTTTTTCGGAGGCTCTGGTTATTTTGGTTAATCTTTAGGTGGTTCAGGTTTCTTTGGTGGCTCTGGTTATTTTGGTTATTCTTTAGGTGGTTCAGGCTTTTTCGGAGGCTCTGGTTATTTTGGTTAATCTTTAGGTGGTTCAGGCTTTTTCGGAGGCTCTGGTTATTTTGGTTAATCTTTAGGTGGTTCAGGCTTCTTTGGAGGTTCTGGTTATTTTGGTTATTCTTTAGGGGGTTCAGGTTTCTTTGGAGGTTCAGGTTATTTTGGTTATTCTCTAGGTGGTTCAGGCTTTTTAGGAGGCTCTGATTATTTTGGCTACTCTTTTGGTGGTTCAGGTTTCTTTGGAGGTTCAGGTTATTTTGGTTATTCTCTAGGGGGTTCAGTTTTTTTAGGAGGATCTGGTTATTTTAGTTATTCTTTTGGAAAATCTTGTTTCTTTGATGGTTCTTGTTTTAAAGGTTATTCTTTTTTTATTTCAGTTATTTTAGGTGGTTCGGTTTCTCTTTTTTTATCTAATGATTAAATTTGTTATTTTTAGAGATCTTTGGAGTATTCTTATTTTTATAAATTATCAGGATATTTTTTATCATATTATAAAACTTAATTAATTTTGTTTCTATTATCATTATTTTAATTTAACAAAGTTTATTAATATTTTGTCTCTGATTTAATTGATTAATTTGGATTAAATGCTTTTGAGTTATCAAATTCTTTTTTTTTAGTTTGTATTAGATCATAATCTTTATCATTTAATGAATTAGATTTATTGTATGATGTTTAATTTTAATTTAATTTTTGATATTGGGGATTTTTTATTTTTCCTTAAAATGAATCATTATAATAATCTGTTTTTGGTTGAGCATAAACTTCTCTATTTAATTTTTGCTTTTTATCTTGATTTTATCCTTATTCAAGTTACCAATTAATCATATTATCTAATTTTGCCTAAGGATTAATCAATCCATTATATTAAATATTAGAAAAGGGTCGATTAAGTGAAGAATTTTGTAAACTTTTTTCTAAATTTGCAGATTTCTGAAAAGAAGACCCATTTGAATTGTTTCCAAATTAGGATTTTTGAGTATGTGAAAGTGAAGAATTAAATTAGTTTGGGTATGATTAACTTTTCTCTAAAAGATCAATTAACTCTTCATATAGAGTATCAACAAATGTTTTAATTTGATTGGATGGATTTTTTCCAGGAGTTGTCTTAGAGTAGAATTGTCTTGCTTTAACAAGAGCATCAGTAAGTTTACTTTGTACATTTTTTTTAGTTTAATCTAAATGATTATTTATCTCTTTTTATAATGATATTTAATCAGATGATAAATTTTATATTCTATTGAAAAATGTACCTAATCTCTAAAGTTAAAATATATGCTATTATTAATTGGAAAAATTTTAATTTATATTTAAATTTGCTTCATTTATTCTATTTTCTAGAATCAAATAATAATTTTCATCTAATTTAATTAATTCCCATTATTTTTACACATTTATTAATTTATTCTAAAGTTCCTCTTTTTTTAATTAATGCTAAGATTTTTTGTTTGGGAGTATTTAAAAATATTCTGGGGCCAATTCATTTAAATTATATGTAATTTATTAATGAAAGTCATTATATATAATTCTTCTATCTCTTTAACAAACAATTTGACAAATATATTATATATCATCAATTTTAATTTAATAATCATCAAGATCGTTAATAATTTAATGAAATCTTAATAAAATAAAAAATTTTACTTGTTAATTATATCTTCTTTATTAAATATGTTTAAAAAGTTAGTATTATTTTTTAGTATAGCAGATTATATTAATTGAATTGAAATTATAAATTAGGATTCTAATAGTTCATCTATAGATTGAATATCCTAAAGTTTATTATTACAAGTGTTTTCCAATAATTATTCTAAATTAAATTTTGTTATATTAATTAAAAAATTCCAGGCTTGATCAGATCTAAATAATTCATAAACTCTTAAAATTTAATCGACTTTTCTCAAAATTTCTCTATCTATTTCATCAGTGTTCAATTTTTATTAAAAATGATTTAAAAGATCTGTAGGTATTTAATTTGCTTTCATTCTTATATAATTACGTATATCTGGAACATTATAATCTTCAGGTATTGTAATTTAATGCTAAATTTTCTGTTAAAATAATGTATAATCCAAATGATCAAAGAATTTATTTAATCTTCGTTCCAGAACGCAGAAAAACTTTCTTATAAACTCATCTACTCTAAAACCTAGTAATAGTATTATTTTTAACCATTAATCACATTATTTCCAAAGGTTGTCAATAATTATGAAATAGAGTTTTCAAATGATCTCACAGTTTTATTTACAAGTGATAGGTTTTCTTTTAAATATTTTGTTAGTTCTTAATGAGGTTAATATGAGATTGGCATTTGTTAATTTGTGATTCTTGATACAGGTTCTGCACTTTAGATTCGATTATCATATCTTAAACTGTTATTATTTTGTTTAATATTTGGTTAACCTGGTTTTTAGTAAATGTACTCGTTATCTGATTGCATTTTAAATAAATAAAAATAAATAAACAAAAACTGTTAAAGATTCAAAATAAAATTTCATTATTAATTACAAAATATATATATATAACTCGAGTAGATATCATATTGAAAAAGTTCATCAAATAGAACTATCAGATTTCATTGATTTTTTTTGTGATAAACTAAAGAATAAATAAATATTATACGATCGATTGTTTGTTTTATCACTAATTTTTCTGGATTATTTTCTACTTCCTTCTGACAATTATGACTAAAACATAGTTGATTATTATTAAACGAATTATGTAGATTATTAAAGTAAGACTTAAGTTTTTTTGGCAGAAGGTCGAAGACTCTCTTTAAAATAGTTATGTTGCAAACATTCTTTTGCACTTATTCTTTTATTTTTATCATAACAGAGCATACTAGATAATAAATCAAAACAGGAATCTGAAATATTATATTCAATTAAATGTTCCATTGAAAGTATGTTCTCATTATAACAATATTACAAATTATCTAATTACGATTTCTAAAATAAATCTTGTTAAGTAATTCTAAAGTAAAATTAATAAAATTACAGTTTATAGAACACAACTCCAAGACTAAATATATCACTCTTGTTGTTGTATTAAGGCTTTTAAGAATTGATAATTTCAGGTGCAATATATCCAGGAGTACCACATTTTTGAACGCATAACGGACTTCCTTGTTTTGTTGCCAAGCCAAAATCAATTAACTTAATATTTAAGTTTTTGTCTATCATTATATTGTCTGGTTTGATATCTCTATGTAGCAATCCTTATTCATGAATATATACAATAGCTAACAAAATTTGCTAAAAAAAGATTATAATATATATTATTACTCTCATAATTGATTAAATTTCAGTTTAATGTAATTAGATTCCATGTTCATTAATGAATCTTTCTAAAGTTTAACCATCTACATATTCATGGATGATGACTATTTAATTAGTTTTATCATATATTTCTTTAATTTTCACAATATTTGGGTGATTTAATCGGTACAATATTTAGATTTCATTTATTATATCCTATAATTTAAATCATCAACTAATATTACATTCATTCTTTCTGTATTTGATTTTCCTTCTCTAATCTTATTCAGAAATTTTGCAGCTACTAACTACTTTGTCTACAAATTTTACACCATTTGTACCTAATTATAATAAATAAATATATACTTATGAAAAGGCACCAACTCCTAAAACTTATTATGGTAGATAGAATTGATTCATATCAAGATAAACTATCTTAGCATCTATTAATTTCTTTAATTCTCTAATTTTGTTGGCATTTGCTCTAAAAAGCTTTTATTGGCCTGAGTATGGAATTGAAAACCCATAAAAATCCTCATCTATATGAAATGTTATTGTAGATCTTAGAGATACTTCCAGTTGGTATTTAGGTTTTGCTTTTGTCTGGTTTATATAGTTTAATATATACTTCTCCAATAAAAATACTTGAACCATCATAGGTTAATAAGTATTATTTATCAAATATTAGATGTTTTCTAATACACTAGAATTGAAAAATCATTCCTTTTCAAATAAAAGTGCAATATAATCTTTCTATTATTATTAATAATTATCACTAATCTAGCGTTTTTTCATCTGCAATAATAAATTCGGTTTTGATTTATCAAACCATTTGGTTATATTTCAAGTGACTTTTGTACTTGTTAATTTGTTGGATTAAATGACTTTTTTTATAAATATAGAGTTTATCAAGCATTTTCATATAATCATTAAATATCAATTATTTTCATTTATTTAGTATTGTATTATCATAAAAAATATATTGAAAATCAGTGTTAAATAAAATTTCAACAATTTTTTAATTATTACATATAGAGATATACTTTAATACTTTCAATTAGAAATAATTTAAATATTTCTAAAATCTAAAACATAAATTAAATTCTGAATTCCAACTATAAAAAGAAGAAAGTGCATCAAATGTATATGTTAAAGTCATCAGATTATTAAAATAATCACTAAATTACTAAATGAAAATTTTTAATATTTAGAATAATCAAATAACTTATTGATATGGCTTTTATTTTAATTTTATGTTCAGAATATTTTTTTTAAATATAAAGCAATTCTTATTTAATCTTAATAAAATATTTCAAGTTAAAGTTTGAAACTTGAATAATGATATTCAATAATACTATTTTTTAAAGTTTTATTGTATAATTTAATTCAAACAAGAATAAAAAGTTAATTTTCACAGGAAAAATATATATTGATTCGATCTTTCAAAATTAAATATATTATTAACATTATTTATAAATCTAAAGATTAAAAACCTGATAATAATAAAGAAGTATAGATTTCATTTTTCTATTTTCATACCTTTTAGAGAATATTAATCAGATAGAATTAATTACTTATCTGTAAATAATTAATGATTTATTATATAGATTTTTTAGTATATTAAGTTAAGAATTAAAGAATAAAATTAGTGATGTTTACAATGATATCGATTTCCAAAAAATCTTAGACTAAAGAAATAAAATATAGGAAATGTTTTATTTAAAATTAGAAAGCAAATATATGTATTTAATGAGAATCAAAACTTAAGAAAGTTTTATCTAAATATTGAAAAATATTTTAATTTGATATTTTTATTTACATTAAATTCTTGTAAAAGATAAAGCAGAAATTCAATAAAATAAATTTTTCTTTAATATTAAGAAATATATATTTTGGATTTGAACATATATATTTATCATTAGTAAAAATGATTTTCATTTTTTATCAAAAGTAGTCATGATAATCTTATTGATCAATTTTATGATTCTATCAATATCAATTTATTATATACTATGAAGTGGAGAATATATGATAATTTATTAATTCTCATAATTTTTTATAAGTTAAATTCTTAAGATTATTTATAGGTGAGTTCTAATAAATGTCAACAGAATTAATTAAATATTATAGACTATAAGTAAACTTTAATTAAATTAATTATTCTACAATAGATATGATGTCATTATGTAATTGAACATAATGTATAATAGATCATAAAAGTAATTATAATTTTTATCATTGTTAAATGAAAGATATTATTAATTATTACAAAATTTTATATTTAATATAATATTAGCTCAAAATTGAACAAATAATTAAAAAAAGACTAAATAATAAAGAATGGACTCAGATAGTTTTAAATCAAAAAAATAATAAGAATAATATCTTTTGTTTTATAGTTAAATTTCTATAAATATATACCTTAATTAAATTTGAAAGAAAAGTGAAAAAATGAAGGAGAATATAAAAATTCTTTTAAAAGAATAATAATTTTAATAGTTTTTGGGTTATATAGTATATTAAAAGAGGAATTTTGAGTAAATATAAAATATTGTTATAATCTTAGAATCTTGAAATAATATTTATATATTTATAAATGTCTTATTAACAGAAGGGGTTGAATGCAATAAGATTGTCCCAAATCAATTAAACTATTTTAAAAGCTCGTAAAAGTTAAGAATATCCATCTGAGTGGACTTTGGATCATTAATCTAGAAATAATTCACTCAAATAGAATAGAGCTATCACTCAACATAATTCAATCCTCATAATGGAAGAGGAGATTTAAAAAATGAGAAGACCATAAACTTCAGAAGGAGGTAGAAGGAATAAAATGACAGATCATCAAGGTAAATAAGTGATTTAAAATACTAATACAAAATATGAGATTTTAGAATGTGAAAATGAAGATGATAAAGAGTAAATAATTATAAAATAAGTAGTGAATAATAGCTGTAATATAATTTTCTTATAACTTGCAATTCTAGCAACACAACACGAAATAATTAGAATAAGGTTCCATTTTAAAGTACTCTTGATAAAGATTTTCTAAGTTTGTTTGCTAATGATTGATTAATTAACTTTTAATTTATATATATATAAAATGGGTAATGGTGCATGTCACTAATAAGTTCCTTCTATAGATGAAGTAAATTTAGTAGCTAGAAACTTTAAATAATAATAATTTGACCCATGCAATAGTTAATGTATGTTACCTCTATTGAATTCATAATCTTAAAGTCCATCTAAACCAACTATCGAATCAAAGAACCCAACTATTGCTAGATTAGATGAGGAAGAATTCGAAATATTAATGACAAATGAAGATAAACCAGATGAAGATTTATCACCTGTCAGAGAAAGTAAATTCACAAGAGCTTAATCTCCTACTAAAGTTATCAAATCTAAAAATAGATACAAATAGGAAGAGAATTACTTTTTAGAATAGTTGAAAGAAGATAAAACTAATTTGGCTAGAAGAAAATCATCTGAAAAATAATTAAGTCCTGTGAAAGTCATACATTCAAGTCATCAAAAGAAGCACAATACAGCATTATTAATTCATAGTCCTGATTAGAGATCAACTTCAATTATCAAAATGAATAGATTATCTTGCTAACTTGATGAAGCTGTCATTTTATCTTTAGAACCTAAATCAATTTTGAAATCTATTGGATCTGAAAAATCAATAACCAATTCTCAAAAGAGTAAAAACAATAGTCAAAAAAGAGTAAGGTTTGGTCTTGTATATCGATAATATAAATGAACATCACAATTTCAAACTCAAAAACTACTGTTATTTGAAATCTAATATTCATTATAAAATTAACTTTATAAATACTATTTACATCAATTTTAATCAAGATACTTTCAATACATTAATAAAAAATGTGAAAAACTAAATTTTGAATATAAATTTATTAAATTTGTTTCAAAATTTTTATTAACTCTCATCAATAATTACAATATACTATATTAAATTAAGTGGAAATTCATTTAATATATATTAATATAGTTTATATTAAATGGTTTTATAAAAAGAAGAGATAAAGATTATATCATAAAATTATAAGTCAAATATACTAAATTTATTGATTTATTAGATGAGTATAAGATAAAAATAGTATTAATATGAAAGAATGACTGCTAAAATAAATTATAGATTGAAAAATATTTATTAATAATCGTTATATTTTAAAAAATGAATCAATTCTAGGATGTATTCAATGAATTTTCATAATTACACAATCAGAAATACAATTTAAGTGAAATATTATCATTTTTGGATTCAAAATGTGCTAATAATTATTTTGATAGAGATGTTTATTAATAATTGATTGATTAAATCCCATAAGCATAAATATAATAATAATGCACAATTAATTAGTTAATTAATGTATTCAAAAAGGCATAGGATGTATTAAATGATAAAATAAGCAAATGTTAAGAAATAATAGATTAAAAAAATATGTATATTTATATTTGAATTATCATTAGTGAAATTAGAGCCTATAATGATAAAATTAGATAATCATAAACAAATAGTATTAATTCATCAAGCAAATTGAATGTAGAAATTCTTGATGCTGAGATTTTGTATTAAGGAAATGGATAATTATAAATAAGTTTAGAATGTATGTCATCTGTTGTTTATACATGTAATTTGTTATTTGATTATAGAGTTAACAAAAAGACAAAAACCAGTTTGGAATGAAACCTTTGATTTGTATTTACTTAACTTTATGATTTAGTAATGTCAATGAGTAAACAGTAATGAAATTTATTTTGCTGGATACAGAATTGTAACAAAAAAGAGGAAATGGTGGAGTTGCTTATATAGATATTAATACTTTTGGAGATTAAATGCTTCATGATTTTACTGTAAATTTAACAGATGAAACTAATTAAATTATCAGAGCTAAATTACATCTTAAAATATAATGGATATATTCAAAAGTATTTATAACAATAATATGTAGAATAAATATTTATAAGACTTAATTAATGAAAATATGATATAAATTAATTAATTAGAATAAGAAATTAATGATCACATAGTTGATTTGGATATTATTAATTCTCCATTTAAACAAGCAATCAAATTTTAAAATAATCTTACTATATCAACATATCAAACATAACCAAATTAATAATAATAATAATAATAAAGTACATTGTTGATTAGTGAGAATTAAATAGATAGATTAGTTTAGATTTCACTTTTATTAATTATTCTTTATTTAGTGTTTGGATTATTAAATAGTATGTATAGAACATTAAATTTTGATGTATAAAAAGTGTGATATTTTATATAGTTCTTAGTACTATTCTATTGCTTTTTGTTTTATTAGAAAAATTATAAACTTTAATCATTACTACACATTAAGATAATTATGGTTATGTTAGGTGTTGCTTTATTGATGGATATAATTTGGCTTGCAATTTATAGTACTGTAAATATTAAATTAAATTGATAGCCATATTTGGGAGAGTTTAATGCAAATTATGATCATTTAGAATATGGATTATAGAAATATCAAATAATATTGAGTTGGTTATTATTATTTGTTAAAGTAAATATATATTTATTATATAGATTATTGTATTAATATTTTATGTTCATATATATGCTACATATCCAGATAAATCTACTTAAGTTTATGATTAATAATGGAATGCTATATTTGGATGGAAGGATATAAAATAAATCAATGTATATAGAAATTACAATTGATTTATTATAATTATTTTTTAATTTTATTGCTCAATCAATAATATATATATCTCATTTAATATTCAAGTAAATTTAAAATATATAATATTAATAATATATTATAGTGTGATAAAAAAAGAATTAAATGGAAATATGTATGATGAATTATAAAATTAAATTATTTTTCATTTATAATTAAATTTTATTTTAGAAATAATGAATAATTCATATGGTTATGATGCAAAATTAAGCTATCAAAAATCTGAATTAAATCCTTATATTGATTAATCCATCTCTACATATGGCATTGCTCAATCTTAAATACAATAAGGAAATAGTAGTAAAATTAATTTATATTGCAGTTCGTTAACATACTTATTCAACACATGCTAGAAATTTATCATAACCTTTACTCTCAAATACTTCATCTTAAAGAATTTAAGTTTTTTAATAATCAATTCCTTAATCAATAAGATAACCTATTGTTAGAGCCTCTTCTCCTTTAAATTAACAAAAAGTATATTATACATAATCTGTTTAACCAGTGTATAGATTATACAATGAACCTATTTAAGTAGTAGTTTAACAACCACCTTAAGTTAAAATTGGTATATAAATTTAGCAAATATTTATAGTTCATGAAATAGAAGATGCACCAATTATACATGAAGTACATCATGTAAATAGACCAATAAATGTGATATCTATGGATGAAATTTAAGGACCTTGGAAGAGTAAATAGATACTTTTGGAGAAATAATTAATTGAATTGTAATTGATGTTAAAACATGGTCCTTAAAGGAAGATTGAAACTAAATAAATAATTGTTGAAGATGAGGCTAGAATTAGATAACTTGAATAAGAAATTGAGAAATTGAAACACATTCTTAATGAAAATGAAGAGGAAATTTAAAATTTAGAAAGTTTGGTCGATTAGGCATAATATAATTTAGAGAATGCAGAAGAATAGGCAAGCAGTTAGGTAGAAGAATAAAATAGAGAATTAGCAAAATGGAAAAAGAAATTTCAAGATCTTAATAAAAAATATCATGATATAGAAGAGGATATAACAATGACAGAAGCTTAAATAGAGAGCATACAAAAAAGAAAAATGATTACATAAACAAGTTCAACAACTAAAACAACTTCGAAAATAAATTAATTAAGAGATAGTGGATTAAGAAGAAGTAGTGTTACAAAAAACTATTGACTTATTAAAATTTTGGATTTAATTATTAAGCGAAAATCTTAGTTTATATATATTATTAAATTTCTATGTTAAACATTATTTTGCTCTTTAATATTGTATCTAATATAGTAGGATAAACATGTTCTGTGAATGCAATTACATGTGAATCTATAATAGATATTAATATATGTCAATAAGCTAAAGATTCAAATAATAATTCAATTTGTGAATGGAATTCAAATTAATGTGAAAAATCTATCCTTAATAAATTACCTTGTTTAAGTTATACAAATGAATTTACATGTCTATATAGATCATACGGATGTAGATGGGATGGGGTTAATACAACAAATTATGATACTGAAATAATGAAAACCAATTAACAAGGTAAATGTGTTGACAAAAAGTATTTAAATTTATTATATTTAATTTAGATGTGAAGATTCCACTAATGATTATGATTGTGAATCTTTTGGTCAAATATCATGTGAATGGTAAAATGAAAAGTGTGTATAAGTTACAAAGTGTGTAGATTTCTAGTCTGTAAAAGGTTGTAGAAATACTAGATTTAAAGAGAAGTAATAATTAAACTATTATATATATGTAGATGTGTGCCTATTGTAAATGGAGAAGTATTTCCAATTGAATCTAGAACAACAACTATTTTTGATACTTTTGAATGTATTGTCTAAGAGTGCAAGCATAAAAAATATGATTATGAGTGTACTTTTGTAAATGGAATTCAATGTATATGGGGAACTGAGTATTAAATTCATATATACAAGTGGATGTTCCGTTTGTTCGTCTTATACTTCATACTAATCTTGTATAGGAAATAAAGGATTATGCTTATGGAATCAAAATTAATGTTAAAATATTGAGTAATTATATTTATAATATTGTTTAGATGTTAATAATACAAGAGTCCTAATTTATGTAATATAAAATCAGAATAATGTGAATGGAATTAATAAAAAATGAGATGTTAACTTAACACAACCAATTCCAATTAACATTGTTATTCAGAATATTTAGATTAATAAAATGTAAGTTATATCATTTAAATAATGATTATTATTCATCTTATTCTAATTGGATGATTTTCAATAATTATATAATATTTTTATTATATATTAATATAATATATATATATATATATTTCTAAATTAATAATTATTAATTAAATTATATATTAATCAATTCAGTGGCTGTTCATAGTTTTATCAAAGAATTTTTTTCACCATTTATTCTTTAGTGTATCCAGTATTTTAGTACATTTATAATGTTTTTTGAGATGGATTGAGTCTATTTTTTATCTTTTTATTTATTTATTTTTATAAACCTACTGGCATTTTTCAAAATTCCTATTGATATAAAAAATAATATTTAAATACCCTTCTATTATTATTGATACTTTTATTAAAAATATATTGTATAGGTTAAATTAAAATAATATAATTCACTTAATCTCAAAATTTGAATAAAGTAACATTTCTTAAGCTGTCTATTTAACTTTTTCTACATTTGAATGAGACCATGGTAATCTTTTAACATCAAATTCAAACTATAAATTTTTTAATTTGTATTTATACATTTTTTTCATCTTGAATATGATTCATAATTTTATTGCAAAGGGATGCAATTTTTTTTTTTGAATCTTTTTATATTTCTGATTCCAAACAACCTAAAATTAATATAAGATTTACTTAAGAATTCTTTATAATAAGTAACAAAGGTTTTTGAAGAGAAAATTTATTTTAAAAAATCTGAATTCATTGTTTTATTTTTACTATTTTTTCTAAATGGAAGCATAATGATGGTTTAAGTTTCTTTTTCCACAATTGTCATGAATATTTTTTAAGCAGATTTCAAATTTGTTTCTTAAAATATGATTATATACATACTTGTTTTATCATATTTCTCTTAAACTCTTTTAAATATAAATTTTAATGCTTTTCTTAAGCAAAACTTAACCAGTTCTTCCCTACTTTTCTATTAGCATCTCTATTTCTAAGCCAACATTTCAAGAAGATTAAATAAAGCTGTCTAATTACTATTTTTTAGATTTGCTATTTTATTATGAAAAGTTTCATCTTCATTGACAATCATCCTTATATATTGTTCTAGATTTTCATTTTTGATCTATGGTACTACATCTTAATATTCTACAATTGATCTTCTTGTACATTAAGTGGAAATTGGGTCTTCATAATAACGTACTAATTATTATATAAAAGGAAGTGTTACCATATTCAACATTTTATGGAAGTTTCTATTGATAATATGGATGTTATTATGCATAAGGCATCTATTACATGGCGTAATAATTATTATAATAGGAATGTTGGAGATTCTGATATACATTCCAGTAATTGATTGATTATTAGGAATCAAAGATGAGTTAGTTGGGTAAAAACTGATGCATATTTGCAAATAATACCAAAATTTATAATTAGAGATAAAAAAAAAGATTTGCAATTTTAAAGTCATTTTATATGCATTAATGCGTATAATTAAATTTATCCAAGTTTAATTGTCTTCTTTAAATTGAATTACATGGCTAGGAAATGATAAATGGTGATCCATTTTAAGAAACATGTATAAATCTAATGAAATTAAAGAATATTCTTAAATATAATTAAATTAAATTACTGATAATTTAAGAGTTGGCTTGAACAATATTAATTATAGTTTCATATTGTGTTTAGTTTTTAAAAAATAGAGACAGACTTTAATATTATCTTAAGAAAATACTATTTGTTTATGAAATTTAAAAAATAATAAAAAATACATTACAATATAATAAAAACAAATAATGGATAATTCGCAAAATTTTAATCTAAATAGATTACTGGAATCAATTTCAATCATTAAGGCTGATTTAGATAAATTAAATGAATTTAATACATTTGTTCTTATGTGCAGAGAACTAACTAAGGTATTTTTGAGTTCTCCTTAACAATAGATTTTTATGGAAATGGGTGGAATTTTAAAAAAAGCTTTTGAAGATATCACATCTAAATGTAGAATATTAGAAAGAAATTGGAATATGCATAAACATGGATCTTTAATTGATTTTATATTATTTGAGAAATAGAAGGGTATTAATATTTATTATATTATAGACATTGCAAAATTAAATGGTTAGAACACTGAAAAATTTGGATATAAAGAAGGAGACTTCTATTTTGATTATGAGTCATCAGCACGTACAATATTAAGACTTATGTGGTTTTTCGATTTTGTTTGTTATATGACTAATTAATTGATAACTGATTAAAAGAAAAGTTTCAGTTCTATATGCTCAGAAGCATATAGTGAAAGTCTTGCCCCTCATCATTCATTCACAATAAAAACAGCTGTAAAAGCAGGTTTATTTACTGTTGGAAGGTATAATCATATTAAATAGATAGTCGTGATAATTTCTATAAAGTTTTATTTAAAGAGAATGAAAATAAAGAAGAAAAATTGGCATAAATTAGAGATACACTTATGAAATTGAAGACAAGACTATGGACATTATATAAAAATGAAAATTTGGATGAATTGCCATGATATTCATTATTTTTATAATACCTTAACAAAATTGGCTTTAATTATTTTCATAATCAATATTTATATAAAATACACTTATAAATATTAATTAAAATTATAGATTTAATCTACATATAAGTTTTATAGCATTTATACAAAATTATAGAATAGAAATTATAATATCATATTGTTATCTAAGAAAATATTTAATTATTTTTATTATAATTAAAGAGTTTTGTGTATATAAAGATATTATTTAAGTAATCTTTAATATTTCTATTTTAATCTAAAAGGACATATTGGTTCCAATCTAAATAAAAATCTTAAATTCTTAATAAGATAATTAACCAAACTATCATAATAATCCTATTAAATTAATCGTTAGATTTTTTTTTTCAAAAATTCAATTAGTTTTTATGGGTTAAGAATATTGATAATAATTTTCTACAAACTCTTGATTAATATAAAAATGTTAAAGTAATTAACATAAAAATAATAATAATATTCAATTCATCACTTCCAAAAGTATTATAATTAGAACTTGTATTGCAAACAAGATATTACCTATCTATTTGAATTTTCTGTGCTGTTAGTTATTTTAATGTTCTTGTTTTCTTTTGTTATCGGGAGTATAGTATATCTCTTTATCTTAATACCTTGTTTTTTTTGGAGTAAAGAATTAAAGTTGTTAAGTTTCCTTTTCATACTCTTCTTGTGTCTTGTAAGGAATTATTTCCTTTTAGGTTTATCTAAAATCTGTTTCAGGTGATGAAAATTATGAATTGAACTATTAATCTTAGGTATCCTACCTTTTGAGCAAATAGTGATTTTCTGAAATTTGCATTTGTCTTTAAAATTAAATAATCAAGCGGCAATGCGCTCATATTTTACTTAAATAATAATTATTCTATAATAAAATAATTTAATTAAAAATTTATATATTTTTTTAGAATTTACAACTTTTTCTATCTATTTGTTTAATTAGTAAACCCCTTTATTTATAGATATGATTATTTAACAATCTAAATATATTTACATTATTATTTTTATAATATTTATGTTATTGTTCTTAATTATTTATGAATCCAAGTATTTAAATTGATTGAATCAGAAACTTGTCATTTAATCCCAAATATATAATTCCCAATTTGATATTAATTAATTATATATATAATTTTTTTTAAAGAAATGTAAAGTAGAATGGCCAAGAGACTACAAAAGGATTTAGAGTAGATGCAAAAGTCTTATACAGATTAATTTAATGTGAGAATGCCAAATAATGATATTAAACATTGGATTGTAGCATTTGAAGGTGCAAAAGGAACATTATATTAAGGAGAGAAATTCGAGTAAATAATTTAAATATATTAGATTGCAATTCAAGTTTTCAAATGATTATGTAGAAATACTTATACTTATTTAGCTCTTTTTTTCTTTGAAATTAGCCAATCGAATCTCCTGAAGTAATATTATTTTCATAAATTAGGTAATCTTTATTGGTAAACCCCCTGAACATGAACATATATATTCCAATGGATTTATTTGTTTATCAATATTATTTGATGGTATTTCTGATGATTTATAATTTTAGAGTGGTCAGCCGCCCTCACTGTAAGTTCTGTTTGCTTGTCTATACAATCAATGTTATCTAGTGCAACAAAAAAGGTCTATTATAAATCCTATATCAGATGAAACCTCCTAATGATGCAGAATTTGTTAAAAGAGCAGCTGGAAGAGGGCCTAAGAGTTTTCTTTGGAGTTATCATGATGAAAAATGTTGAAGGAGCTCTTAAAATATATAAATTAAATATTGCACCATATAAACATATAAAAATCATTCTTATACACTCTAATTAATTTATAGTAACTCAAATTTTGCATTCTAATTTATAATTGTATAAATATACACTTAAATTTATACAAAGTATTTTATAGTTTTATTAAAATATTATAATTGATTATTATTGTAATAACAATTATAGCATATAAAATATAATAATTAATTAAAATATTGTTCTAGAATATTATTGAGTCCTTTTTGAAATAAAATTAAGTAATTTAATCTACCAATAAAAAATCAATTATTTTGTATAATACTATCTCTTCTTTAGTACTTATTTAAGATCTAATAAGAGAATGTTAGATATACTTAATGAATTTTAAGCTTAAGAATAATTGATTTATTAATTTTATAATTTTATAAAAGAATAATAGATTACAATCTCATATATAAATAAACATCATGATTTTTATGTCTTTGATTCCTAACTCTAAGTATTTTATTTATCTAGACGATATATATTAAGAGCCTATTCAATTTCTGATTTAAAAAGATCTAAGCTCTTCTCCTTTGTAATAAAAGAATTAGAAGTTGAAGTATTGATACTATGGTATTTTTCTAGACTTTCATTTTAAGTTTTAGTTGATAATTCTGTTGTTTAACGATTGTATAATTTTTCCAATAAAATTTGCTTCAATACTTTTACCTATATTATTTATTTTATTACTTCTTTTTTTAAATCATCATTTATTCGTTTCTAATCAATTATTTAATTATTGAGAGCTAAAATAAATAAATAAAAATACTTTCAAGTCTAATATTATATTACTTTTTTTATGTTTCAATCATTATATTTGCTTTATTAAGTTCTAATCAAAATTACTAAAACAATATACATTGCTTCAAATCTTTAATTTCTTCTATATATAGTTTGAATATTTAAGCATGAGCAGCTTCTAAAATAATAGAATCTATTTTTTATTTATTTTCATTAACTAAATCTGTCATTGAAGTTTAATTAGGAGGAATCAATTTAGGGTTTTCAGAGAGACGTGGACTGATAATGGGAGAGGTTTATTTAGAAAAATTTTGTTTTTCAACTTTGATTTATTATCTTAGAGAATTGATCTCATTCAATAATTCAGGAGTCATATCAGCTTTATGCATTTTATAAAATTGATGGGAAAACTTAAGGAAATTTTTTTCAGCTTTTTTATTAACCTATTTGGAGACAGTATATATTTTCATCATTTCTCGCAATTTTTATTCATTCATTTTTATATAAATCTGATTAAAATAATTAAAAACTAATGAAAACACTTAAAAAATTTGCGAACTCAATTTTCTTTAAATAAAAAAAAATTTATCTCTTATACTATAAGTTAGTTTATGATTACTATTAGTCTTTAGATTTTAAGAAAATTACAAACACTTAATTGTATGATTAAAGTAAATTATTTATAAGATTTAAATTATCATTTAGAGTAGATATAATTTTAATATTTGTATAAATAGTAATTTTAAGATAAATAGAAAATTTTTAATTATTTTTTTGATTGTTTATGAATAATAATTATATATGTAATTTTTAATACAAATTCCTTTTATATATTAATTAACAATTTTTGTAAAATTTTACTTGAAGCTATTTAAATATATCATCTAGATTTACTTAAGTAATGTTTATGTCATTTTAGATATAATCATTTATATATATATGATGAATAAATTATTTACAAAATTCAATTCTTTAATTCATGGATAATTGTATAAGTAAATGTAAAGATGAAAAATATCAGTACAACAGCCAAGCAAATTTCATAAAATTTTTCTTCATTTGATTTTAGTAAAATTTTATTATCTTTTAAATTTGCTTTGATATTTCTGGCTCTTCTTTCTAATTCTATAATTTTTCTGAATCCTTATTTTGTATTAGATGTTTCATATTATTATTGATTAATTTACTCAGTTATGTTTTTGATTTTTAATTCTTATATTGCCTATAACATACTTCCTTTAGGAGTCATCAATTAAGAACTTCTACGAAATGATTACTATGAATGTTAATTTTACTATAATTAGTTCAATTATTATATGTCGCTTGAATCTATAGAGCTAATTCTCTTTTTTATCATTGAGTAGGTTCTAATGTAATCAAAATTTATCATGACTGCTTTTTTTTCTAAAATTTAGACTAGCCTTGAAAAATGATGAATTTAATTTTTAGAAAACTTCTGATGATTTGAATTAAAATTCATTTTAATTATAATTTTTATATGAGAAGATATTTTTATATTAAAAATGAAAAATACATAAAATATACAAAATCTATATTTAATAATAATATATTATAAATAATTATTAATAACTTATATATTAATAGTTAATTTATTTTCAATTAAAGAATTTGTATATGTTAGTTAAGAGATATCGTGTTCAACTTAACCATCTTTTTTAGAATGATAATAAAGTTTACTATTAAATCACAGTTACAAAAGTAAATAATGAAAATGAAACAAAAACAACTTTAAATCGATATTCATAATTAAAAGATTTTCATGATAAATTGCATAAGAATGTTACTCTATTAAAATTATAAATGCAATTACCATAATTTCCTGGTAGATCTCTTTTTAGTAAAACAAATCAGAATGAAGAAAAAATTATAAAAAGGAAAATTGAATTAGAAAACTATTTCAATGAACTTTTTAGTATTGATAAAATACTTAGTTTAACTCCAGTCTAATAATATTTACCAATAGAAATTCTTTAAAATTAATAGTATGTATATTATTATGATTATTAGAATGAATATAAGTATAAGGATTGAAAACTATGTAATTTATGATGAAGTAGTTGTATATATACTTCGTTTCAAAAATAATTTATTAAATGATGAATGGATATATAAAAAAAGATATTCTGAAATCAAAAGTATTCATGATGCTCTTCTTGATCAAGGATTTAAAAATAAGTTGCCATAATTCCCAACAAGGAAATTATTTGGATAAACTAATGAAAATCCAGGTATTATATAAAATTTATAATTATAAGAAACTATAGAAAAGAGAAAAGAAGATTTAGAAAATTATTTGAATGCTTTATTCTGCACTTAAGAGATATAAGAAAGCTAAATCATTTAATTTCTTATTTAAGATTCTAAAAAATATCATGAGAAGAATCTCAAACTTGAAGAATTAAAAAAATCTTCTACTTTAAAAGCTAAAGGTGGAGATTTAAATAAAAGAATTGATGAATTTCCATAAAGAAAAAACTAATAAATTAATGAAAATAAATGATTATTAAATTTATATAAAAATTCTCAACTAAAAATTTTCATTATATTTTTGTAATTTTAAATCATTCCATTTTAAATAGTCAATATTAAATAATTAAAATATATTTGCTCTCATCATAATGCAATAAAGATCTTTTGGATATATTAATATTGACAATTCTAATAATAATGAGCCTATATTGGGTCCAATATAAGAAAATAATAGAAGCAGCAAAAAATTGAAGAGATTATTGACTGATGATTTCTCTCATTTTTAAAATGTGAACATAAGATAATTTGAATAAGCAAATCCTGATGAATTTCGACCTTAAACCTTAAAAGAGATGGTCAATTAAGCAAAAATTAGATTTATTGAAACTACTCCGAATTCTATAATAAGGAGATAAGAAAAATAAGTAATAATTATTACAATTCATTTTAGACTGTACCATTCTATATCAAACAAAGAGATGATTAACTCAAAAAAGTTAAGTCATTTAAATCCTCAATTCGACAATAAAATAATAAATAAGATGATTCTAATTAGAAAGTTTGCATCTACTTAATAGAGGCCTTTTTTGTTATTCTGTTAGTCCTATTTGCTACTGAACTATTATTAAGAAAGTATTTATAATGAATTAATATAATGCATATTATAATATATTTTATCTAGTTTAACTGCACAATAATTTATAAATGAACTAATCAAATTTTATCATAATACCAAAAAAGCAATATGATTTAAAAAAAAAAGTTATGAAAAATTTAAAGGTGGTTATTAATAATAAGGAAATTAAAATTATAAATTTTAGATGGTAATTGTACAATAATATTTAATTCTGCTTTTCTCTTAATGGTAGATAAATTCTAATGTTATCAATAGAAAATCATTATTTTTATAGTAAAATATGATCTTTTAATATTGAAGCTGCATTACAACATTTTCACTTGTTTTTTTTATATAATAATAAATTAATGAAAGCTGATAGTTTTCACTCAGCATTATCTGATAAGCATGCTAAATATAATTAGTTTATATGTTCTTAACTTTTTGCAGGTTATAAAGTTCGAAACAAAGACTAATAAAAAAAACAGCATATACTTTCAAATACATCTGATGAATAAAAAATTGTTAATAACTTTACAGCTTCATAAAGTTATTTAAATGCAATGAAAGCATTGTAGGAAAAGATTAAATAACTTGAATTAGAGAATTCTAGTTTATAGACTTTAGTGGTATTGATGAATTTATAAATTAGTCATCAAATGATTATAAGAGTAATTTGAAATCTAATGATAGAAAATAAAAGGAATCAAGTGTTCATTAAAAAACTAGTGAACATTTATAAATTAAAGAACTTGAATCAAAATTAATGCAATATGAATATACATCTAAAATTAAGATTGAAGATTATGAATGTAAAATAGGATAATTACAACATAATATATTGAGTATTACATAATAAACAGATCAAAAATATAGGGAATTAATGGAGGAGATCTAAAATTTGTAATTTTATTTGATTATATAAAGAAATGAATAATTGAGGAATTAAGAAGAAAATAACATAAACTTAAGAAATAAAGTTAACTCATTAAATTAAATTTTATCTTAAGAAAAATAAGTAAATATAACAAAAGTACAATAGAATTATTCAAACTTATAGTTCCTTTTTGAATAAGAGAAAAATGAAAAATAATTTTTATATGAAAATAATGAAAAATTACAATAAGAAATAATTAAATTAAAAGAGAAATTATACGAAGCTGATTAATATATAGAATAATATATAGTTTATTATAATGATCAAACATTTAGATGTAATTTAATAAATAATTTAGAATTGGAGGATGAAAATAATAAATTAAAATATTAAATAGAGCATTTGACAATAGAAAATGAATAAATTAAGAAATCAATTTAAAATTTGAAATCCAATTTAGATTTAACTAAAAAAGAACTTGAAGAATCAGAGTTTAAAAGAGTTAAAAAATCTTCAGAATCAAATGTAAGAATAGAGTAATTAAAATAATAATTAATTACACTATCTTCAAAATCTAATCTATCCACTTTAAGTCCAAGAGTAACATAGAAAAAAAATATTAAATAATTGTCATCTAAGGAAATGCCAATAAAGGCATAAAAAATTAGAGATTTACGTTAAATCAAAAGCAAAAGTCTTAATAAATTTAAGGATCCTTAATTTTTAACTCAATCTTAATCTATGTAAAATAATTATCTTTAAAACTAAAAATAATAAGGATATGATTCACAAAGTAGTGGTGTAAGTAGATTGATAGTAAAGACTTTAGAAGAAAATTATCCATCTTAATATAAGAATGAGGATAACAACAATGCAATCATCATGAGTGATGAAATTACATAGACAGATTAATAATTTTGTAGAAAACAATAAAAATATATTCAAGCTATTTAAAGAATAAAGTTTTTGGATGAACAACTAGCAGCACTCAATTTATAATATTAAGATATCGAAGAGTAAATCCAATAGTTAACAGACATGAATATAAAGAAAGAGAAGAGATAGAAATTATTAGAGATAATCGATTAAATGTAGGATGTTAATAAAGAATTAAATGATCTTGTAACTATATAGAAACTTGCTTCATAATAATGATTCTTCGCATTGTATTTTTTTATCTGTATAACAAACTTGTAATTATTAGCTTTAATTTGAGGATTTGTTAAGGCTTAATTTAAAATTGTGAGTTGAATTACTTCTTAAATAAAACATATTGTCTCTTGGACCTAAATATATCGATTTTTATTTATTACTTGATTATTATTAATACGATTTTCCTAATAAAGAAAATCCTTTATTTTTGTGTGCTGATTAACTTCTATAAAATTTTTTTAAGGAATTAACAATAGGTTTAGGAGTATGAACACTCTTTATTAATAATCTTGTAGGTTATTATTAATGAGAACTGTCATTATTATTATTATTATTATTATTATTATTATTATTATTACTATTATTATTGTTATTATTATTGTTATTACTTGATTCATCTCCTAAATAAGATGTTATTGGTCTTTTAGGTTATTTAGGAATTAATGGATTTTTAATTTTTACAATTCCATGTTAAATCAAGACTGAAAATTATTATCTTTTATAATTAGATCCTTTTTAAATATAATTAAGAGGATCATGAACTTTTTCAAATAATTAATATGGGTTATTACAATGTTACTGTCTTTAGATAAATTATTATAATGTTATTTCATTTGTTTTTTTATTAGATTCTAATTATTTTTATTTAAAATATTGTTATATAAAATTAGGTATTTTTTTGATAGGACTTTTAGTTCTTTGAAATTCTCCAAGTTCTTCATCTTGATTATTTGGAGTGTTACTAATATTAATTTTAGTCATGTTCATTGTAGTATTGTTAGTTTATTATTACTTTTCAGAATTAGATTTAAGAACCTTGAAACTTATGGTTTTCTTAATTTCAGAGTTAATAATCTATTATTTACTGGTAGTTTACCAGTTTTTTTCCATTTCTTCACATTATTGCTTAAAAATTTCTTCTCTCTAGACATGTTTATCATTAAATAAATCTTATAAGGATTATATAACAACATTGATATTTAAAAAGTTCTTCAGCTATTTAACTGATATCATTTATAAAACTGCAATTTTCGAGATTACTTTAACATTATAAAATGCAAAATCCTATTTCAATAGTTCTTCACCTATAACACCTGAATTTGTAAGTTAACAAATATTGATCTCTGTCTACCAATACTTTTTAGGTAAAACTTGTTTTTCATAATGAGTCATTTTCTTTTCATACAATCGAGAAATTTATAAGACCCCTTCTGATAGAACATATATAGATTATGAGGGCTCATTCTATTTGTATATAATACTACCAGCTGATAGAGTAGTTTCTGTAAAAGTTCTAATTAGTTTTTCTTATATTTTGCTTGAATTTATTTTGTCTATTGATGTAATATTTTATAATAAAATATTTTTGCGATATTGAAAATTAGATCCATGAGTGTGATTAAAATTCTTATAAGTATTTATGGGTACTATAATACAATGTGTATCGACCTTAGTAAATCAAAAATTGTACCACAACATAGAACGAGTAATCTAAATCATACCATGTATCCACACTATATGAATCACCATTATCAGCTAAAATCTAGCCTTTTAAAATGAAGTAAGCAAATTCACTTTTATTGTTCACATGTTCACCATGTTTGAATGATTTATAATTCATACTATAACATAGCTATATAAAACTCGTTATACCTCTTTTAAGATCTCATAAGGAGCATGAAATTATGGTAATTGACTCATATAATCTTAAATAGCTGATATATCTTCCTAAGATTTATGGATTTTGCTTAATCTGGGAATAAGGTACATAGTTAAGATTAATTAATTATTTATAAAAATAGAATATATATAACAAAGTCATTCACTTTCTTCTACTAATAGCACTCTCATATACCGTTCAAATTAATCTTCTAAAAGTGTGATAGAAGTAGGTAACAATTACATGAATCTCTTCACAATGTTATATTCAATTTCTAAATATCTTTTGAATCCAAATATCAATACTAAAATTGAGAGGACTGCAAATATTAAATAGATCGTTGATAAAACCTTATTATACTAATTTAAATTACCTAAGAGATGTTTTATAAGTCAGTTGTAACACCTAACATGCTTGATTTTAATTTCTAAGTCATCAACTAAAATACTCTAACCATTATAATACCAGCCTCATTATCATATAATGGATACTCTAATCTTTTAGTAAAGTTATTCACAACAATTTATGTTCTAATTTGATTTTTCATAAAATTCAATGCAGCAATTGCCCCTTTTAAGAAATTCCCTTAAATTGAAATTGAACAAAAATCTTTCAAAAAAGCCAACTACTCAGATGTAAGTATATCACAAACTGATTCTTTTTGAATCTAATTAAAAAATGTAACAAAATCATCATTCACTTAGTATTCATTCTAATCAAAAGATGAACATAATATATTAAACTTTTCTATGTTATCAATTCCAGAATAAATTAAATCAAAAATATATTCTTCATCTTTTGGAGTCAAATAAGTAAAATTACTAAATATAAAATGATATTCTCTATTCTAATATAATGTAGCTGATGAATATGTCATATCTTAGATCAACTTATAAATATCAACAGTATCAGAATACTTATTTAAATAAGTCATTTATCCTTAGAAAATTATAATACTTAAACCAAAGAATATCATCCAAATTCCAATAATTAAGGATGTTCCAAGAATTATGGATACTGATTCATATTAGAATTAAATATTTCTTTATTAATCTTTGTTTTTCTTACTTAAAGCATCTTAAATTTTGGCTTATGTAATTAATTATAATTCTTTTTGATTTAAGTCAAAATTATAAAGAAATATTTGATCTGGATTTTTTTATAAAGATCTTTGCATTATCTTGTATCTATCAATCTCGTATTACAATTTATTTTAATTACAAAATTTAAAAATTCCTAAATATTTATCATACCTTTGATTATATTATCTATAATAATAAATTTCAGTAAGAGTTAATATAATTGTTATTATAATAAAAGTAATCCAAATAACACTCCAATCTTTAGTAATTGATTCACTTCGATATTTTGAGTATTCTAGAATTTCTATTGTTAAGATCTCTAACCAATTATGTAAATAAAATTGATTTGCAACTCCAAAGACTTGGATTGCACTTCCTGATGTACTCATTCGATTTTCATATCTATATTTATACTAATATAAATTTTAAATAATTTATTAGAAAGCTTCACGTATATTTAATGTTTTGCTATAAACATCACTAGTATTAGCATCCATGAATACCATATCTATTGTTTTATTTTCAAAAAAAGGTTATAAATTTTGATTTGTTAATTATTTAATAAAAACTTCTTTAATTTCTTAATATCCAATATAAATATTATCATAGAATGGTTAAGTTAGTGTATTAGCTTGTGATTAATTGATTGCTCCTTCATTCACATAAGAATTATAAGATATAATAGCAAGTCTCATAGACACAAAAATATCATGTGGTGCCATGAAACTACTATGTAATTCAATCATATCAATTTCTGAAATGAATTAATTAAGATCATTTTAATTTTTAGTCATTATGATTAAGAAATGTATACTTCCTATGATAAATTAACAAATCAATAATATTATGAGTAATTTTAATTATTTAGGATTATGTGGTGTTATTACTTATTAATACATTTGATATTTTTTAAAAAACTTTGATTTTTTAGCACCTGCATAAGAAGAAGAATTAGTATCATCTCCTTTGATTCTAATTTATGGTTTATTAATTATTTCATCTTCTTATATTTCGAAAGCTTTACCCAAATGAATTTTTGATGAAAAAGAATTGGCTCCATTTTATTATTCACCTACAAAACTAAAGAACTCTTATTATCTAATTTTTAAAAGAGGGTTAGCTGAATTTAATGCAATTGGATTCATACTTAAATCCATAGGACTCATTAAATTTATTTCATAATGAGATAAATCTGGTTGATAAAATTATTACCATTTATCATTATCACCTTAAACTATTATTTAATTTACATCTCTATTAAAAACATCAAATTTTGTCTAATCAATTTTAAGCACAAAAGGTGAGTTTATTATTGCTTCTTAATCAGAAATATAAGAAAAAGCTTAATCAAAAGAATTACAATCTTTATCTAAAGCTTACTATTTATACACAAAATCAGTCTTTATTTCTTTGATTTCTATGATAAAATAAGAAAAACCAAATAATTCTCTTGAATTAATTGATATTAAACTTTCACAATGAATTAAATTATCTTGATTATGCCATTCAGTAAAATTATTTTTAGTATTATTTCTTTATTCATCAGTAACTAAATGATTGATTAGAATGGATTATTTTAAAAACTTAAATTCAGTTACATATAATAATTCTTTTTGATTAACAAGTTATGTAAAATTAGGAATTAATAATTCTATTGGTACTTGATTTATATATTAAGATTGGATATTTTCTAAATAATAATTTGTGTATCCTAATTTATCTAATAAATTTTATGTTATTCCTCCTAATTAATAATTTACATCAACCATTATAAAAGCTGATGTTTAAAAATTATCATAAAAGAAAGCTAAAAATTATATTTACGTAATATCACTAAAATTGACTTCAAAAAAGAATTCACATGGTTTAATTATTTCATTTTAAATTCTGTAAAAATTAATATTCTTTTTTAAATAAAATCTTGATATTGATGTTTATAGGAATCTTTATACTAAAAGTGAGTGTTCATTCTTAATAGCTGAAGGAATCAAATAATCTATTGAATTATTAATTCTAAAATCATCATAAGTTTTTTAGAAAAATTAGCAGACTCTTGGTGTTATATTTTAGATTAATAATTCTTAGGTTTCCTCAAATAGTTTAACATTTATATAAATTAGATCTTTATTAAATAATGTATATTAAGCATCTGTGTTATTATGTAAATTATTTAATTTTTCATCAGAAATAGATGTATTACATGTAATTTTATGGGCATCTAAATAGTTATCAAATATCTCTCCTTAACAATAAGTATAAAGAGATTGAATTCTTTGACTTGGGAAATATTTATAAAGCTTTAATAATTTAGTTTCTAATGTTTCTACTTTCAAACATAATTCTTTTGAAACTTTAAATAATTGTGATAATTTAATATGTTTGACTTGTTGTAATTAGATGAAAAATTATAATTTAGAATTTACTAAATTTAAAACTTGATCTTTTAGATTTTGATTTCTCTTTTCACTTTTAATGAACATCTCTATGGCATTTTATAATCCAAAAGAATCTCCATTTATTTCTTTGTATTGAAATTATTATTTTAATTTATCTCTTACTTTTTCTCTTAAGATAATAACTCTAACATTCTAATAAAAAGTTAAAGTATGATTTCCAGTAGTTGCTAACAATTTATTAGTTTTATTTATTTATTAATTTCCTGCCTCCTATACTTCTTATGATTTAGATGATCTACTAAATGAAGATTTATTTCCAGGATGTATAGTATTTAGTGATTTAATTTAATCACTCTAATTGTCTTTTGCAAAAGATCTACTATGTTTATTAAAATTAGTATTAAATAATAAAATATTTATTTGTTTAAGTGATAAATTGTTTAATCCTATTTTAAATAAGATAGCAGCATAATGAATATAATGATTGGCATTTCTTTATTTATTATTTGTTTTTAACATTTCCTTTAAATACTTTTTAAGAAGTGTTTTAAAATAAAAGTGCATCAATTCTTTAGGCATAAATTCTTAATTTATATACTTTAATGGTAATTATGCAATTGGTTCAAGATTCCTTTTCTATTGATATAATTATATAATTTTAGCATAGATAATAATCTTTTGTGTATAGGAAGAGAATTCTTCATTAAAAAATTTAGAAAGCACATACTTGTAATGAGTTATTGAAAATTGTAGTGTATTTGTTGAGATTTTAAAATCATATAAGTTATAAACTTTCATTAATAAATAATTAAGCAATGGAACCAATATATAGAGTAAGACATTAATATATAAGGAGATATTCAATTAAAGATTGGTTAATATCAAAATTGATTGAATTAATGAATAGGAAGCAAATGTAATTTATATTTTGATTATATTGTTTAAACAAGTTATTAGACTAAAAGTATTAATAAGTATCATTAAGGATATAAGTAACAATAATATTGCTTAGATAGATTCATTAAATTTTGGTAAATGATAATATACAATTATTTGAAAAATACTTGTAATCCAAATAACAAAATCAATAAAGGTTAACTTTAATGTCAAAAAACTATTTAAATCAAAATCTATTGATTCTCTGCAAAGTAGAAAAGTTAAAAAATTCAATGTACATAAAATTATCAAAGTGATTATGGCCAGTATTATGTTTATATAACTACTCTTTATATTCATATTTTAATCAAAATTATAAGATAATGACTTAAAGCATAAAGAACACAAAGGAATCTATAAGTATATTGGTTGAAGTTAAAATAAAATTGAACTTAAATTAACATAAAGTTAAAATTTGTTTTTTCTTTTTTTAGCATCATCATTACGTTTCTATTCAACAAGTAAAAACAGAGGAATCATATAGAATAATATGCATAATGCCAAAGATATCAAATATTCAAACTCAGGAGTATTTGTAGAAATTATTAAATCAGGTCGAGCAATTACTTCTATATACCAAAATTAATTAATTGGTGTTAGTATTTACTTATCAAATTAAGGATTTTAGTTGTTGTGATAATTTTAAAAGAGCATCGGTTGGAGTAATCCTAAAAAGTAAAAGCCACTTAATACAAATTTATTCACTTTAATACTATGATAGAGGTTAAGGATTGAATTTATAAACTATTTCTTGACTTCAAATTTAGTTTATTCTTTTTAAGTGAACATTGATTGTCTAATTCAAATTTAATTTTTGAGGTAAGATTTCAAAGAAATTATTATAAAAATATGAAAATTAATAAAAATAATATTTGTTTACTATCTAAAGAAATTTAGTAATAATATTGATGTCAAAATATGCTACATATGATATAATGTGCAAGTTTCTGATTCTTGGATCTTCATAAGTTGGAAAGACAAACCTTTTAATGCGGTTTATAGATGATAATTATAGTGAAAGTCATATAACAACAATAGGAGTTGATTTTAAATTTAAAGAAGTAAAAACTAATGGTAAAATAATGAAAATGCAAATTTGGGATACAGCAGGATAAGAGAAATTTAGAACTCTTACATCAAATTATTATAAGTTTGCACATGGAGTATTACTTGTTTATGCAGTTGATGATTTGAAATCATTTCAAGATATTACATATTGGATGAATTCTTTAAAATAACAAGGAAGAAATGAAATTGCTATCATATTGATAGCTAATAAGAAGGATATAATAGATTAAAGAATTATATCATAAGAATAAGGAGAAGAATTAGCTTATTAATTAGGAGTGGATTATATAGAAACATCAGCAAAACTAGGTTTAAATGTGTATGAAGCATTTTAAAGATTAGCTGAATTAGCAATAAAATAATAAGATGGTAAGGTTTCATTACCAATTCTTACTGAAGATAATAGTTATACAATAAACTTAACTAAAAATAAATACAATCTAACAAATAAGAAGGGATGTTGTTGAAATAAATTATGTTATTAATCTATCAAATTTCACTATTAAAGTTATAATTGATCGCGTGGTGTAGGGGTTATCACGCGTCCCTAACAAGGACGAGGCCGCCAGTTCGAGACTGGCCGTGATCATTTTTTTATTCCTAATTATTTTATGTTTTCAATAATTTCTGATTTTCTTTTCACTTTAAGAAATTATTCATTTGATTTTATAAATATATTTCTTAATTAAATAAGTTATTATGAGGATTATAAAAAAATCTATTATGAATTCATTATTTTCATTTTAACAAATACTCATTATTCTTCAATAAAACATTAAGTTTCTTATTTTATAAATTAAAAATGAATGAAAAATCAAGTATTTCTGAATCATATTTAACTTGAAGTTTATTATTATCAAAAAATGTTATTTTATTAAATAAAATATATTATTATTCAATTTATTAAATATCTATATTATGAAAAGTGGGTTTATATTGCATAATTAATTTTATCAGTATATCATATTTTTATCAATTAAATACTAGGCAAAATTAATATAATTTTTAATTAAAATAACCTATAATTAACGTATCTTTATAATTAATTTATAATGTATATTAAATTTAATTCTATTGAATAATTTACTTCTAAAATTATAGTAATACCAATAATTGAACTATATGATTAGAAATTAGAATTATATAATGATTTAAATAAACTGAAAATACATGTATATATAAATTTTGAGATGATACTACTCTTAATTATTCCTAAAGAAAACATGAGTAATTATGAAGTGGAAAACTTAGAATAAAATATCAAATAATTAATAAAGAATTAAAAAACTTCAAGCTATAAATCAATCAGTAAACCGAAGAATAGAAAACTAATAATTATTAAAAAGATATTACATATATAAATAGATGAAGCATTGTTACATGAATTTTTTAAAAGATTATAGAGTAATAGTGATATTTATTATTCAGATTATTAATTTAATAATTGAAATTTATTATAGAAAAAAAAAATGAATGTTATCTAGTCTAACCAATTATCACCTTTTATAAATCAAAAGATAGTTAAAAAGACTACAGTTCTTATGCAGCCTAATCAATTGAAGAAGAGCCATGTTGATGCTAAGCCAATTAGATTTCTAAAATGGGATGAGGATGCAAAATAAATAAAGTTATGTTTAGACATTAAGAAATATGTATGCTATACTAATTTTCTTTTAGAACTCATTATTAAGAACTGGACCTGCTTCTTTTATCATCTATATAGCTGCACGGAATGAAATTAATCAAATTTCTAAATTGAATTTGGACAAAAACTTACCTTTAATTGATACTACATTACAAAAAGGTATCTATATCTGGAATCATGTTATATATAATGAACATAAGAATATCTAATTATATTAGCTTTTGTGCATTTTAGGTGAACAATTTAAAGAAAAATAGTTGAGAAGACAAAGTTTAAATTTGGTTGAAAACAGCAGTGTATTCATAAATGCAGATACAGTTTTAATGACCATAGCATCTATTTTGGCTAGTGAGATTGTTTTTCTTATTAACAATAATGATGATGACATTTTGGAAAATTTTCATTAAATTACTAAAAATGATTAACAATCTTATTATAAGTTACAAGTCATCAATTTTGTTGAAGGTTTAGGCACAAGCATCGATTAATTTAAATGGTATCAATTATATGACAATATAAAAATAACACTAATGGAAGAAAATCATTATCTGAATGCTTCAAATACATCCTTTGTTGACAATTTAACTGAAACTATAAATAATTGGGCCTTGGAACTTGAAATGTCTTTGGAAAAAAAGATATATCAATGTTATGAAATTGATTTCTTTACATTCTTTTCTATTGCTGAAATAATTACTAAAAGTTCTATGTCAGAATTAGAAAAAAATAATGTGAAAGAAAATATGTATTTATAATATCATATTTAATTTAAGTTTTTATAAAGCCATTCAAAATTAAATTAAATATGAAAAAGACTATATAGAAAGCATTTATTAGAAAGAAATAAGGGAGTTTTGTTCAATTTCAGAAGAAGTCACAGTTGATTCTTTAACTAATAAATTATATTAAATGAGAGAACAAGCCATGTCATTGTATTATACTCAATTGGGATAATTTTATGATAATCCAGAATATGAAAAATGTCTTCAAAGCATTTAATAGAAGATTAATTCATTGGAATTAGAATGCATTAAATATAATTTTGAATTGATGGATATGTATTATAATTTAAATTATTTAGATCTCTTTAGTGAATTAAGCTAATAATTTGACAAAATCGAAAAAAAATATAAAGATAACTTTCTTGATTCTTATACTTAATTTTTGAATGAGATTCTTAAGTTTAGAGAATTTAGAGGATTAAAATATTAAAATTTTAAATCACACTTATAAAAAAACTATAAATCTAAGTTATACTCTTATATAACCGAGTTTGATAAGGAAGAGAAATTACTCTATGATAAACGTATGTAAACTTAAAATGAAAAATAATACTAATTTTTAAAGTAAAGAGACAAAGAGGTTATGAGAGGACTTGAAATCCTTTAAAATTATACAGATTTGATGAGGGATGAAATTGGTACTCTTAAAAGTCTTATTGATGTAACTCATACTTATGTATAATTTAGTTCAATAATCAAATAAATATTGTTGTAAAACATAAATAAGAAATTAGAAAATTGGATGATGAAATTAGATAATTATAATTATAAGTGAATAAAATTTAGATTAAAAAAAGTAATCGTGAATTTTGATTCTCAATTCTATATAAATTCAACAATTTAATAGTTAAAGAAATGTAAATTATTACTTCTTTTTCATTTTAAAATCTGTAATTTTTAGAAACCCTTTCACTAAAGTTTCAATCTTTATCATTTTGAGTCATCAATTTGTATGATTAATTAACTTTTTGTTTTTCAATTAATTTATTATGAATTTGTATTTAATTAATTCATTATTATTAGATATTTTGATTAGGGACAACTTTATGGATAAGTAAAACTTTTACTTGAATCATTTCTTTATTGATAAAAACAATAAATCAAATACATTTTGGGATAAAGATTTTAGAAAATTGATTTAAAATGAAAGTAATTTCATACTAAACAATGATAATTGCATATGTTTATATAAAAAGGGAAAATATTTCAATAAATTCATTCCTAGATACTATACAGTCTAAGGAACTTATTTGTTTTATGGAGATAAAGTATTATAAGAAGATATATAATCCTGTAGGACTTAAAAGGATTTAAAAAATTAGAAAATGTGTATTTATCAACTTCAATTGAAAAGACTTCCTATCCATATTAAATTGAACTTATGTATAACCATAATTAGATTATATTATATACAAATTCTGAATAGGATTTCAATTGTTTTAAATCATAGTTGGAGTAATTCTGCATCTTAATTGGATTTCATAATCAATACTCTATCATCAATTAGATAGGTTTTGGATCCACTGCTCAAGTAATATATAATTTATTCAAGGTCTTTATCTCTAAATCTTTAAATGATAATTCTCACTATGCAATAAAAAGAATTCGAAAAAATTCTAAGCTGAATCCTCAATTTTTAATGGAAGAAATTTAAGTGATGAATGATTTATCTCATCCAAATATAATAAAGTTACACCGAGTTTTCGAAACTAATAGTATTTAAAATTAATATCTACTATTTAGGACATATTAATATGGTATTACAATTAGTGGAAGGTGGAGAATTATTGAAAAATTAAAGATATAGCATTCGGGATGCTAGAATAATATTTAAATAATTGGCAGAATGTGTAGATTATATGCATTAGAAAGGTGTAATGCACAGAGACTTAAAACCTTCGAACATATTATGCAAAACTAATTCTTTAGATATAGTTTTGGCTGATTTTGGTCTTGCCACTTACATTAAAGCTAAGTCTCACATTTATTATAGATGTGGTACTACTGGTTATGTGGCTCCAGAAATATTGTAATTTAAGGAAGGCAATAAAATGTATTCAGAAAAATGTGATATATTTAGTCTTGGAGTAATTTTGTATTAATTGTATATAATATTTGCTATATTATATTAGAGTATATAATTAACATCCATTTAAAGATGTTTAAAAAGAAAAGATGCTTAAAAATAACTTATATGTTGAATATAAATTTGATGATACAATTAAAATACCTTAAAGTTGTAAAGATCTCATTTCCCTAATGTTGAAATAAAATCCTAAATAAAGACCATCTGCTGAAGAAATTCTTAAACATGAATTCTTTAATGAATAGTTCTTTGAACATTAGAATCAAACTTTGACTTTATTTGAACCTAAGTATTAAATTTTTATTATTTTTAGTTCTGATTAGAAACGTTCAGGACCTTCATTAAGCAGTTATAATGTAGATATGAAATTTTCGACTCTTAATAATGGATTTAAATTATTTGAAGATGAAATTGATAATGATGAAGAACATCAGAATGCAGATTTTATAGAAACATCACCTCTTTGGTCTAAAAGAATTGAATTATAGCGATGCCAATCTTACCGTTCTTAAGCCAGTTCTATTATTATTTAGAGACAATAATCTTAAGATTTTAAGACCAAAAAATTGTCAATATTCAGATCAGAATTAAAATAATAGTCTCTAAAGGTTCTTTAACCCCAAATGGATAAATCAATTTGTGAATCTTAAGATTTCCATTAAATCCCATACATTTTCTAAAATAATATGCTTTTGGTTCATAAAAAATAATATTATTGAATTCGAAATTCTCTATGTGAACTATAAATTAAAAATTATAATTATATCGATAATTTTTATTTTTTTAAATTTTATATTATATACAAATAATAATAGAAAATACATAAGAATTTTAAAATTAAATTTAAACTTCCTTGCAGGAAATATGAAATTTTAATATGAATAAAAACATATATAATATAAATAATTAAAATTTTAAACAATATCATAATTTATAAAAAGGTAAGAGTTTCTATATTTATTTTGATCAATGAATATATAAATTTAATTAATATAGCATAAATATTTGGCATTAAATGGGTTTAGATCATATTATATAAAAAAAATAATTTATATAAAAATTTTCAATTTTATGACATAAAAATTATATTCATTTATAAATTCAAATGATTCTTAGATTTAACAAATTATTTAAATACCAAAAATGATTGTAATTTATTATCATTCTAATATTCACTTTGTATCTTATAATATTTATAATGTTTTTCATACTTTTCTATTGTTCTTTTTAATTAAATTTGAAATAAAAGAAGATATTTTATATTATAATATTTCATTAATTTAATTATGCCTTCTATTGAATTAATATAAAATTCATACATTTTAAATTTCTTAATATTTACAGATTAAATTTAATATTCATAGGAAAAATCTTTAGCAAATTTTCATTTATTATTTTACAAATTATTAATATGAATACAAAGCTTTTAAATAAAACTAATAAAAAAATATCAATTGTGGATTCAGCTGGAAGTCCAAAATAATCAAAATAAAATACCAACAATTAGATTGACTCATAAAAAGAGATTAGCAGTGAATTTATTATTAGATAAAAAGTATATGAGAATCTATATAAATATCCTGAATTCAAAAGTGAAAAATCAATAAATTTATCAGAAAGAGGAGAAACTCGATCTAGTAAATTTAGAACAATTATTGATGACGCTAAATCAAAATATCTTAATTCCAATTTACAATCAAACAAATACTATATAGAAAAGTAACAAAGCTCAATGAAATTAATAGCTGATTAATTTAGAAATTAAAAGAAGCTCCAAAACAAAGGTAATTTAAAATAAACATAAACTACAAAAAAAATAAAGTTAAATTTGATTTTGTCCCTAGCTATACCAATACTATGCATTATTGTAATAATTTTTGAATTATTAAAACAGGATTTGATAATTTTCTGAATATATATCAGATAAATATATTTTATTGAATTAATTAATAATGATGTAAATTTTATTTAAATTAATATATTATCTTGTTTAATAAATTTGATAAATTAAGGATTAAATTTTTATACAAGTCTAACTATTGGCAAACAAAATTTCATCCAAGTATAATCAAATTTAAGCAAACCTTTGTAATATATAATATTGAAAAACTTTCAAATTAAAATTTTATTAATGAGAATTTATGAGTATACCTGATTAAATATATTTAATTATTAATCAAATATTTTTATATATTTTTATAAATAAAATTGTTAAAATTGAAAGAGGATATAAAAGTATTTTTATTATTTATTGTTTACTATTTTTATTATAAAAAACAATTATGAATAACTAATACATTAAGTTTTCTTAATATCATCAAACTCTAAAGTTTGTATGATTTTATTATTTAAATTAGTATTGAAATCTGGGAATTAACCAAAATGGCTAGCTTCAGATTTAGAAAATTTAAATAATTTAAATAAAGAGTTCCTTCCTTTTACTATGTAATCATAATTTATTTATTTGGTAACTAAATCATAAATAAAAATTTAAATAGATATTTGACATTGGCGGTTCCTTTGTATTATCAGGAACCCTGGTAAATAATTTGTATAAAGATTCTATTTTCTTATCTTTTATCCACTAAAAAAATCTTTTTCTTAAATCAATATTAAAGAAATTTAGATAATATAATTTGTCCATGCCAATATATTAAAAAAAATCTATTAAGATTTCTTAATTGAAATTCAAATATTTTTTTCCTATAATGGTTGGCTAATGACTAATTATTAATTTATATAACAAAATAATATTCATTTATAATTTAATGAGATTTTATGAGAAAATATTAATATCATAAATATCTTTTTTATTCAAAGATGGTTCCAAATACTAATGAAAGGCTATCAAAATAACATCAAACAACAACGTTTTTAAATAAAAAATCTACAAGTATTCAAAGAACACAAAAAATATCATTATAAGAAATCACAAGAGATCTTTTAGATAGATAAGTTGAGTATGATAAACTTAATAAAGTCTACACTTCAATAAAATTAAATCATAAAGTGAATTCTATAGAAAAAAATTCAAAGTTTTATACAATTAAGAATGCTGTGAAAGAAGCAAGACTAAAGTTTTTAGAAAACTCAGATATTAAACAATAAAAAATATCAACAACTTAGAATCAACATCTTTAATAATAAAAACAATCAATAGCATTGATTGCATAAATCTTTCGAAATTAAAAATAAACTCTTAACTTGAAATCGAATCAACAAAATAAAAAAATAAAAAAATGGAACTTATAGTTAATATTAATAATAGCAATCTCTATGATTTGCCTTCTTATAATATTATTAGAATTTTAAGAATTAAAATGAAAATATTATAAAATGTTGGGTTCATATAGATATTTTATTTGTGAAATTATTTTTCCTATATTGATTTTTAAAATATTATCAAATTAAAATTAAATTTTCAATTATCCATAAAAGTTATGATTAATCTCTAATTGAACATCTCTACAATATAATATTTATAATAAGAGAACAATTATATTAAAATTGATTGATATAACAATAAATTATTAATTATCAAAATAAATATAATAAGAAAAGAATAGAATAGAAAATATAAAAAAATATAATTCATTCTTGAATTCCTTATTTTAATCTAAAAAGGATCCTTTTAATGTTACTATATTTTAATAAATACCTAATTCCACTATTTTAACATCATCTAATAAATAAATAAGATCTGAGTCTTAAATTAGAGATTTTTTAATAGTAGATTTTCGATGGGTAATATTAATAATAATATTAATTCAGCCTATTTTAAATCAAATTTTCACTGGTTTAATGATTTAATAAAAAGATTTTTTTAATTCCTTAATATCTCTCTGGCTAATTTAATTCTTTATTTTTCGTCCACCAAAAATTTAAGTATCTTTAAGTCTAAACTATCTTTAAATTCTTTATCCTCTTTACTTATCAGTTCATTTTTAGGATATTTAGGTTTCTTCAAATAGATATGATCTTATAAAATCATATAAATTTATTTACTTAGGTGCATTCTTTATTTATTGGATATATATTTAAATGGTATGAAATATTTTCAAAATTGGTTCTATTAAATAACCTTGATTCTTAGGAGAAAACCCTTAAGAAAACAGTCCAATATAATATCATACTTTCATAAAGTAATAATCTTTGTTGTTCAATCTAGAATGGCAAAAATTTTAATTGCTACCTATTATTCTTTTACAAAATACTATACACATATTAATCCAGCCAATCTTAAAGAAAGCTTTTTATAGCAAAAGAAAATTTCTGATCATCACAATTTACTTAGCTTGGCTCTATATTACAAGAGTGTAAAGAACAAAAAGATGCTTCCCAAAAATAAAAACACCTAAAAGGCTTACTGTGACAAATAACGCTAATTATGATTAAATTATCAAGTACATTTAATTTATGTACCTATTAATATTAATTATCATATGTCTAATTTTTGAGAGACTAGTTTTAGTGACAATAATTAATTTTGATAATAAGAAATTCTCTTTTTGCTTAGATTCAATTAAATTAGATAACAATTTAAATATATTTTTGTTTATTATTTATATTCTTAAAAAATAATTCAAATTAATTTAATAAATGGTCACTCGCTTCTCATTTCTACAACAATTAAAACACTTTCAATTTAAATATTTATTTTTTTATATTAATTATATAATTTTAATATTAAATGTAATAACGACCAATCATTAATAGAGATTTATAAGAAAAAAAAGATGTATATAGATATCTTACAATTAGAAAGCAGCTTAATCCTTACACGATTATAAAAAAAGTTTGGAACTTAATTATAAAGAGTATATTTCTTAAACATCTGAATAATAATTAAACGATTTTGAAAGTATTTCAAGACCTTCAGTAAAGAGCATGCCAGTTAAGACAAGAGATTTACTGAATAAATATAAGGCTCAACTTGAAATAGTACCAAAATTTTAAATAGTTTCTAAACCAAATCCTTAATTATAAATAAAGTAGCATTAAGAGCTTGAAGAACATTAATAAAGTGTTTCTTCCCAATGCTCAGAACCTCCAAAGAATCCTTTTGAAGATAGTCGTAAAACTAAGTAGGATGAATAAAATATATCATTCAGCAGATAGAAGGAGGTTTAATTGCCTGATAGTTAAATTAAATAAGATATTGTTTAAATTGACTAGTTTAGACAGAAAAATCCTTTTGATAGTTCAAATTTAATGCAATTTACTTAAATCTAAATGCTTGATCCTTATGCAAAGACAATATCAGATAGAAATTTAGTAAGTCATTATACAAGTTAAGAGAGCAGTAACATCTAGAATTTAAGTTAAACTTAAGAAAAATCATTAGATTCCTAATAATTTTATGATACAATAGAGGAGTAAGGACAATTCTAATAATCAGGTAAGGTTAATAGTGGAACTCAATTTTAAAAATTTGATCACAACTAGTAATCATCACGAACTTATAAAAGTATTAAAGAAGAGATTCAAGATGAATTAAGTAGTATGACTCATTCATCTCATTAAGAGGAAAAAGCTCATTTAAATTAAAGTCAAATTTATGAAAGCCTAGATTAAGAGTCTTAATTAGTTGAAAAAGCATAAAGATGGAGTTAGTATCAAGACATTCCATAAAATACAGCTTAATTCAATCCTAATGTGTAACCAACAATTTTAGAAGTTAAATAAGAAGATCAAAATTCATTATATATAAAGCAAGATACTTCTAATAATGACATTAATTATGGATAGTCATTTGATTAGGCATAGCAATAATCTAGTTATTTAAATAATTAAGTTAACTCTAAACTTCTGGATAAAGTTACAATAAATGATGGAATTACAATGAATAATCATATAATATCTAAGAAACTGTCCTAAGAATTAGTTATTGATATGGAGAAATTTGAATAAAATAGTCATTTATTGAATAGTATCAACAAAACCTAATTATTGTTTATTACAGAGAAATATTTTGATCTTATGATTATAAAATGCAATAAGAATTTATTGTAAGATTTTCGATTATTAAAGAAGTTATAATCATACTTATATAAGAAGGATATTATTACTTTAAGAAATTGTATGAAATAATTTAAGATTAATAAGGATAAATAATTAGAGAAATATGAAAAGGATAGGATATCTAGATAGTTTCTCTTTTAAAAATAGTAATAATTAAAAGAAAATATATTTTCAGCATTACAACAAAATAAAGTTGTTTAGATATAGTTTTTTCAAAATACTATTCAATTAATTAATAAGCATAAATTGAAAGTGTTAATGATTAGATGGAAAACTTAAGTATACTAATAAAAGATGAAAAAATAAATGGATCTTTAATATAAACAATTTTTATTTAATGGTTGGTTAAATGTAGCTAAAAGGGAGAAAAAGGCTAAAGATATTAAATGTTTAACAAAATATTATTTTACAACAATTAAAAAATTCTATTAGACTTGGAAATATTTCACTTACTAATAATAAAGACTACAATCCAAATTTCTTAATGCATATAGAAATGTGAATTTAATGAAAAAGAAATTTATTATGTTATAATGGATTAATTTTATTTAGGAAGTGAAAAAAGAAAAGGAATTTGAATCTTATGCAAAATAAGCTAATGAATACATTCCTGTTAAGGTAAACCTTAAACTCTAAAATATAAAAATCTATAATATCAAATGAATTAATATTATTTATTTATCACTAATTAAATCATATAAGTAACACTTAAGTTAATTATAGATCTTCATTAATAATAATATGCTTTATAATTTTGATTTTCCATAACAACAAAGTCCTGTATAGTATATTTATTAATCATAGTAAAATAATAAAACTTAGAAGAATGTTTCAACTTATAAATCTCTAAGTCAAATTTCAATTTTCGAACTTCAACAAACTAATGATATTAAACAAAAATTATTACCTCTTTTGAATAATAAACTTAAATAAAGAAATTCAATCAAACTTGTTGCTTAAAGTCCTAGATTGATATAATTCAAAAGTGACAAATCACTAGATGTTCAAAACAAAAGTGTTACTCGTAGATAATTACCTTCTATATATTTGAAACAAAATAATAATATTATGAAACAAACTTATTCATAAGATAAGTTAAGCTTAAGTCCTTAGAAATAGGATTTAAATCAAATAAGCAAACGAATTCTTACTGATTGTGCAGATATTTATCCATCAGATAGATTAAGTCTCAGAAAACTTAATGAATTACTGAATAGTCATAATATAAAAATTCCTTAGCGTACTACAACATAACATTTTCCTGAAGTTTAAGAACTTTAAGATCTTCCTAAATAAATTGAATATATTTTCAAGAAAAATAATATAAATCCAATAAAAATGAAAGCCAATTTAAAATTTTATAGTCCAAGAGAGTAGAAAAATACAACTTAATCAATTGATTCTTTAATTAAATTGTTAAAAAAATGAATTTAACATATAATAATTATCTCAATTCTAATAGTGTAATAAATAAAAATAATACAATTATAATCTTAAACTAATTACTTGAGTAATTATAATGTATCTTAAAATTTTAAGATAAATAAGTAATAATCTAGATAATTAATATGAATGTTAGGAAAGATCTAACAAAATTATTATTAAATATTGAATTTATATAACATATATAATGGACCTATTTTAGAAATAAGTGAATAAAACTTAATAGAAAAATAAGAATAAATTATAATAATAACAATGAATAAGAAAATATTAAAAAAATTGTTTAGAAAACCTTGATTTATTTTAATTTATTCAATTGTTTAATTTTAATTATTTTACTAAATCTTGTATTAAGGAATCCTATTGAAGTTCATCAATGATTCTCAAAATGTTTTCTTTTTCATTTGAACTTAATTAAAAATTGTATTTCATTTAACAATTATGCAATAAAAACATAGTGTCTATCTAAAAATAAAAATTATTATTCTTACAGGACATATAGGAAAGGCATAATTTATTAAATTCTTTAAGGCTTCTAATTCAATTTCTGTTAAAAGAACTAAATTAGCTATTATCACTAAAAGTTATCTTTAAATTAAAGGATTTGAAATTGGGAACATATTGAATAATAAATTCACATTACAATTTGCAGGAATTATTTGCTATCCTGTCAAATTAGCATATATAAATAATATTATTAATTGTAATTCTTAATTTTCTGTCTCTTTAACTTATAATTATGCAAAATCAAATGGAATTGCTTAGGATAATTCTGCATACAACCAATATATTTGTATTAATTAATTTTTATCAAGTTTATTTTCATTTTTCTTTACATATTATATTAAATATTGAGGTAATTCAGATTAACCTATCTTTACCAATATCTAATTTAATAATGCAGTTTCATTGTGAATAGCATATAGAATATTATTTAAAGCCCATATTGCTTAAAATAACAATCTTTTTTATCCATAAATTATCTAATATTATAAGTTATCTATCAAATTTGGTGAAAATGCACTAATAAATCCATTGTTACATGAAATATTACCTATTTATTTTAGATTAATAATTACCAATAAATGCTAGTATTTTATCTAAAATTTAGTAAGAAAGTGCTTGATTAATATGATTGTTATACTTATCCATTAATTTGCAAAGAATTGTAAGCATATTGAATAATTCTTATGTTGAATTTTAAAACAAACTCAATTTGACTAAAACATTCAAACATTCATTATGCAAAGCAGAATTATCATCTTCAACTTTTAACTTAAGGAGTGTTTCAATTAATTAAACTAATCTAACTTCTTATTCTTAATTAAAGTGATTAAACTCATTGATTTGCTTAAAATAATTTTTAATATCCTTTTTATTGTATATTGTAATTGCACCATTTAAAAGATGAAGTGTCTTATCAACTTCAATCTCATTGTTGTTTGATTATATCATTTTTTTCCTATTATTTTAGAATAGAGTCTCTCTATCAATACGTTTAACATTCAAAGCAAATATTTCTCTTTTTTTTTACAAACTCAAAGTTGTGTTATTAATCATTAATTAATTAATCATAGAATAATTTCCCGCTTGAAGTTTGTGAATTATTTTTACAATTAAAATTATTAAAAATATAGAAACTAATCTATTCATTTAAAGATATGCTTGTGATATAAGAATTATCAAATAAGTATCTTTATAAACAAAAATTATTTTTTTATTTCCAAAGAATTGATGATTTTTTTTTAATAGAAATTTATAATATAAGATAAATCTTAGTTTATCTAAATTAATCCATTAAATTTATAGAGTAAATCATGAATAATATTATATATTATAATTACCTTAATCTAAAAGTCCATATTTTTAACAAATTAGATTAATTTCTTATATTAAACTAGTATTTAAAATAGTTAAAATATAATTATTTATATTCTTAAAAATAAATCTATCCAGAAAATTATCAATAAACCATCATAAAATTGATTAATTTAATTTTTTGATACAATATTATGAATATTATCATCATCTATTTATAAAACGAATTCCTCAGTCTAAATTATACTCTTTAATTTTCAAAAATAAATACAGTATTATAAAGATTATAAAAAACAATTGCTACTTTCTTTTTATAACAGAAGTATAATTATTTTATTAATAATCTATTAATCTTGATTTCTTAATGGTTAAATTTGTATTTAATTATAAATCAAATTTAATTAAAAATGCTTTAAAGACATTCTGAAACGATTGAATATATGAGAGAATGCTTCAGATAAAAAATCTTAAGAGATCATAGAGAAGCCATCTTCAAAAACAAAAGAAGGCCATATGAATGCAAGAAATAAGGTATATTGAGGAATGATTCTTTAAATAATTAATTCAATTATCTATATTTAGGAGAAACACAAAATGTTAATGAAACATAAGTAAACACATCAAAAAAAAATGAATAAGAGATGACTATTTAATAACAGATGCACTAAATTTTAAATGTTGAATTTATAAATAATTTCAAATTAATTAATTTAGAAACTAACCTATTAATTTCTTTGAACAAGTTCCCAGCTTTAAGTAATGATGAAGAATTGACACTTTGGTTTTAGTTAATTGAGTAGGTAATTATGCAATCTGACTTTTAAAGCATTATTGTAAATATTTCATAATTAGAGTAAATTATCAATTAAGCAATCAAATATAAGAAATTTGATACTCTATTTAGAACTTTAAATTGTCTTTTGAAATTAGTTTAATTAAATGATATTAGTATATTGAAATATTTTGAATGTGAAGAGATGTATAACTACTTAATTTATGCATTATAAAATTAATAATTAAATGCTATTGTAATTTGCGAAAAGATATTAGAAATCTCTCAATATGGAACACTTTTTTTAATAAGACAAAGATTATTGGATTATATATACAATTTTTTATTGGAGAACTTCGAGTTTAAGAATTTTTTTATAACATTTTTATCGAAGATTAATTGCTTAAATGTAGATGAAGCAGTAACAACTTTAATAAGATCAAAAATATTTAATGAAATCATAAATCTTCATGGAACTGAGATTGATGCTTAAGGTTATAGATGCATAGGGGTTCTGATATTGAACTTAATTTAAAAAGTTAATAACAAGGACTAATTGAAATATCTAATTTATAATACAAATTTGATGTGCATGTTATAACAAATTTTGAGTTTGTATCATAATGAAGATTTGATATTAATGGGGATTCAAATATTATAAATAATATTCAATCAATAAAACTATGAATTTGTATAACAAATGAAAAAGGTATAATATAATAATTATTAAAAAAGGACATACCTTAGATATTGCTATAGTTATATTTCTTGAAGAAATGTTGTGTGGAAAATAGTATGTCGGAAAAGATAAATTAATTAATTGAATATTGATGAAAAAAATAATGATTTATTTAAGCATGATAGTTAATAATCTTATAAGAATGAATGTTTTATATTGGGTAAACAAATATTGAATTTGAAGGAGAGTGTGTTTTTCGATTAATTTAAATAATGTTTGGTCGGTAACAATTGAGATCGTATTTTAATTTCTATATTCCAGTTATCCCACTGAGTCATCTGAGTTTATAGAGTATAAGGCGAATAACCGTATGTATGCGTAGGTGTTGGCTACAACTAGAGAATCTAAAGAATCAGGAATGTTATCAAAATTAGTCACATTGAGAGAATAGTAAATGGAAAATATAAATGAATAGAATTTCAACTATAGGTAGTCCTCGTACAACAGTAAAGACATCAAGAGGAATGTCTGAACATGTAGGAGTAATATCTCCACGTTCTTTTGGTAGAAGATTGGATGAGAAATTACCTATGAAAGAATTGGGAGAGATTGCAAATTACTTTAATACATTGAGAGCCGAATAAGCAAAAACATTATCAAAAAATTATGTGAATGAAATGGTGCGTTTGTAGTAGTGTATTGAGAAGAAGTTGAAAAGATGATGTTGTTAATAAATTAAATTACCAATGAATCAAAAGCCACTAAAAAGTATTCATTTTCGAGTTGAGACACATATCGATTTATAGTCCAAAGACAAGCTATCATCTGTTGAGAATAATTCTAAACGTTACTATTCTCCTAACAACTTGCCTTCTCTTCAAAACATATGCAGAACTATTTAAGGTGAGGATGGAACGGTAATGAATGAGAATGAGGAGATCATAGGTTTTTGCCATGAGATCCCTTATGAGTAGGGCCAATAATGTGAGTAGTAATCGAACTACTAGAACAAAGTGGGTACTTGAATTAAATGAACGTAAAGATCTTAAACAATTAGAACAATGGACAGATGTATATTAAGTTTAGTATTTAGTTAATGGTTTAATAATTATAATAACAATAGTATAGCAATATTCGAGATTTCTATGAAAAAATGGAGTTGGTCTACACTGGTTCAATAACTTAGTTAGGTTAGTAATTGGCTGTGAAATGCATTGATTATTAGACGATGTTAAATAAAATATGGTAATCATATACTCATGCAGTAAAAGAGATAATTGAAAGATAATCTGAAACAAATAGAAAATTAGAGAAAGATTGTTTATCAGAAACTGTAAAATTGCATTAAATGTACTAAAAAACATTGAATGATAAAGGTATTAAATTATAAGAGGCTGAAAGATATTTGAAATAGAATTCTGATTAAAATGATAAAATGATTAAAGAAGGTAGATATTTGAGAAAGAAATGTTAAAAATTAGAATAAGAATTATTAAACATAAGAAGAGAATGTGATTTTCTTAAATTATAGAATTCAGATCTAATTAGAGAAATAGATGCTATGAAAGTATTTATAAATTATTAAATTGATCCTTCTATATATATTAATCAGAATATTGTTAATACATAATAAATTGAAGAAAAGTTTGCAGATGAATTGTAACATGCTAAAAAAGAAATGTTTGATGATTTTAAACATTAATTTGAATAAAGGACTATGATATATGAAGAAATGTATTAAAGAAAATTAGATGATTTAGAAAGGAGAGAAATATTAAATTAAAATTAAGATGATGAATAAATACTTTAAGATTATTAATAAACTATATTTAAGGATGAATGTGTTGGTAATTCAATCACTTATAAAACATAAGAAACAGACACTTTTGATTTACTTTAATTATAAGATGCATCTGTTTAAACTATATAATTTAAAAAAAAAGTATTTGATTGGAGTACTTAAACACCAACTATTGTAACAATAAATTAATCTATTGAAGCCAACTTTTCTATGATAAAAAGAGAATGTATACCTAGAAATAAAGAAGAATAAACTTATTTAGAAATGTCAAAATATCCTATATAAGTTTTTATTGATGATTATCATGAAATTAATATCACTTATAATAAAAATACTTTTAATACAGACTTAAATAATTTAATTGATATACTAGCTTAGAGATCTAGATAATTATTTAATATATTGACAATGAAAGAAGAATTTCATATGGATGATTTTTAATGTGTGAGTTAATATGTAATAAATAGTTATAATGTATTTATAAAGTTAATTCGTAATTTGGAATATTTAATTATTGAAAATAAATCAATTTTAGTAGAAAATAAGATATCTCTTTATGAAACATAAATTGATTCTAAATAATCATATAGAAAATAAATTCATGCTGAAAAAAAGTTAGATTTATTGATTACTAAACATTAATTAACTTTAAAATAAGTGTCATTTCTATAAAAATAAATCATAAGAATTCATAAATATCTACCTCACTTTTAAATTGAAACTATCAAAAGATAAGCTATTAAAAGAAAGATATTCTTTGAATTTCCTAAGATTTAATCACCTGGTCCTAATTTATTACCTCCTGAAAAATCAAATACTATCTTTTTTTCTTCTTAACCTTAATTATTGATACCTCCATAAATCAATCAATCTACAAGTTCATAAATTTAAAGATCTGCTTTAGATATAGCTTAAAGTGAATCAACTGAACCTCATTAATTAAAAAGAGATTAATCAGTTGATTTATATAGAGAATTAAGAGAAACACCACCAATTAGTCCAACTAAAAAACATCATTAAATTTAAATATGTAAAATGAATGCATTAAAATTGCTTAGTTTTTTAAGATGCATTAGCACCACCTGATGATTCCTCATCGGATAGTGATTAAGAAGTAGATATTGAGGCTTAATTATCACCCATTAAAAATTTATTATCAATTGAAAAGAAATTATTTGTAAATAAATGTCCATCCAAAAATACATAGACAGCTACTTAACTTTTATTATAAGAAATATAATAATTTAGAAGAGATAAAATAGATAATATTGTTACAAGATAAACTTTATAAAAATATTTATCTAGTTTTGTTTGTTGGTGTGTGAAATATGGTAAATATAATTATCCTCTTCATATATAATTATATGAATTTTATTAAATAGAAAATTTTCAATAACCTCCTTAAGTTTGGTTATAAAAATATTAAAGAATAATTAAAAGTATTCTTTATTATAAGAAAAAAACTACTTATGCTAAATTATTTCATTAGATGTTAATTGGAGATTAGAGTTTTAATATTTATTTGAGTATTTTGAATAGCATTTAAAATAAAGAATTTACAGAAAATGGAATTATTGTCCAATAATTATAACTTTCTGAATCTATCGGACAATATATTAAAAATACTATTCCTAAATATGTTCAATTAGTTGATTATGATCAAGAGATATAACCTTATATGTAAGGTATATTGGATTATAAAACAAAAGAGATTACTCAAAAATATTAGTTAATTTTAACTTTATTTGATTAAGATAGATTTACATCTCTCTAATTTAGATTGTTATTATTAGAATTAGATTAATAGAAAACAGAATAATAGATAATTAATTTATTCATAAATGAATGTGATTTGGAATAAAATAGTATTTAATATATGTCACATAAGAGATTTTCATAAATTTGTGAAGAACATAATTTATTAGTAAATTTGAATGAATATTTGCAAAAGAATAATGCATAATATTTTAATGATATGAAATTATGGAAAATAAGAGAGAATGAATTAAAATTGATGTTAATTAGATCATAGAAATATGATACAACTGAAAGAGAAGTCTTTTATAGAATGAATTAATTAAATTCATATGATTAAAGAATATTATTGGGAAGATTTTTAGAGAGAAGAGCAAAAGAATTATTATTAGAATAATATGCATATGAATGTCTACCCTAATTCATGTAGATCATACTAAATTCTTAATGATTTATTTTTAAATTCAATTAAAAGCTAATATATATATATACATATTTGATTAGTTTCTAAAATATTGATTCAAAAATTAATATGGCTTCTAAATTAAATACAATTGAGGCAACCAATCTTGACCATCAAATTTAACATTTATATTAATGCAAACCACTTCCAGAATAAGATGTCAAGCTAATATGTGAAAAGGTATATTTAATTAACATTTATATTTCATTAGGCAAAAGAAATTTTGATTGAAGAATCTAATGTATAACCAGTACGTGCACCAGTTATAATTTGTGGTGATATTCATGGTCAATTCCATGATTTGATGGAACTGTTCAAAATAGGTGGCAAAGCACCAGTAATGAAGTGATTTTAATTTGAGGATACTAATTATCTATTCATGGGAGATTATGTAGATCGAGGACATCATTCTGTTGAGTGTGTAACTCTTCTTGTATTGTTGAAAGTATATAATCTATTAATTAATATTAGATTCGTCATAGAGACAGAATAACCATCTTAAGAGGTAACCACGAATCAAGACAAATTACATAAGTTTATGGTTTCTATGATGAATGTTCACGTAAATATGGTAATAGTAATGTTTGGAAATGCTTCACTGAATTATTTGATTACTTACCATTGACAGCAGTAGTTGAATCATAAGTATATTCCTCTAATCAATAAAGTTCTTCTGTCTCCATGGAGGTATCTCACCTTCCATTGATACATTGGATCATATACGTCAATTAGATAGAGTATAAGAAGTACCTCATGAAGGTCCAATGTGTGATTTACTTTGGAGTGATCCAGATGATAGATCTGGTTGGGGTATATCTCCAAGAGGTGCAGGATATACATTTGGATAAGATATTTCAGAATAATTCAATCATAATAATAAATTAAAGATGATTGCAAGAGCCCATCAATTGGTGATGGATGTACATTATTTAAATTAATTAAAAAGGGATATTCTTTAGCCCATGAGAGAAATGTAGTAACTATATTCTCTGCTCCAAACTATTGTTATAGATGTGGTAATCAAGCTGGTATAATGGAAGTAGATGAGAATCTACGTTAGACCTTGTAATATTAATTTATTTAATATTTCTATATAGTATACAATTTGATCCAGCTCCAAGATCTGAAAATGAATCTGTCCCTAAAAGAGTACCAGATTATTTCTTATGATTCATATAAATATAAACAGTAATAACAAATTAATATCTTTTGTTTTTTATACTCTTATTGTGTATGTATACTCTATTTAAGTATTCTTTTATTTTAACAAAAATAAAAAATATTTTTAATATCAGTTTCTTAGATTAATGAACCTTGATGACATTTACAATTGGTATTCATTATCCTTTTATTATTAGGATTCTTTAACATCCCTAGAACTATCCTGGAAAATAATAGGAATCATAACCACGAACTGTACAGTCTTATAAACCACTTGAACCAAAAGCTTAATTTCATATCATTATCAAAGCCACTGCTGAATATATCAAAGAGAAAATGCTTAATGGAAATGTAAAATTCAATAATATCTTAAGGGAGTCAATATGAAAGAATTGGGAGCATTTACTATGGAAGTCATTTCTGATTATGTGAAACCTCTCTAACATTCAGGATTCAATATGACTCAAGACTTAGCCATTTAGAGAGCAGATAGAAAACATGTTCATTAAATAAGGTACTTTATTTTCCATATAAATTATAGACCTTGTTTTGTTCCTGACAATGCATTTAAATATTTCTTGGCTCGTTATCCAGGCAAAGAGGAAATTACTAAACCTTTAAGTCAACATTCTATCTATCAGAAAGGATTTGGAATGAACTTCTGTAATGCTGGTCCTATTGCAGCATCAAGGTTAGTATATATTAATTGTGATAAAGTTATTTAGGAAAAGATGTTGTATAATCAGTTCATACTTCGTTGATTAAAGCTATTCATGATTTAACCAGACTTGGACATGATCTACATATAGATTTAGGATTCATTAAGATATCTGTATAAAATAGAGATTTAAGATATAAATATGATTAAACATTTATTAATAGACTCAACTAAACAGATTATGAATTAAAAGTAAATTAATATCAGTATTTTCAAGATGCGTAAATCAGATTTAGGAACATCATAACATTGGACAACTACATATTAAGAGAAATGGTCAAAAAGCACGTAAAAATTTCTTAATTATTTAATAGTTTAAATAATTTATTGACTAGACCAAATCCAAACCAAGTTTAAGAAAATTATGAGAAATCTATGGCCTTGAAGATTATGTCATTGGATTTGAATACAGCAGAACAAACCAATTATAGCAAAAAGCAAAAAGTCTAATTACCAACACTTAATAAATGAAATTTCTTTTATTAAATAAGTAGATTAATTAATTTTATTAATATTAAATTTATATATCTAAAATAGATTCTTATCATAGATCTTTTCAGATCAATGTTGGTATTCTTTTATGAATATACTTATTCTATAAATATATTCTGATTTCTAAACATTTTCTAACTTCAAAAAAGTATCTAAGATGAATATTCTAAATCCATATTGATGATATTATTGTTTATGTAATTAAATATAAAGTGTATTTATTTTTACCATTTGTATAAATTTATATTAAAAATTCTACTTAACTTATATTGTTCTTACAAATATTTATGTTTAAATCTTATTATAAAAAATTGAACTCACAATTTTTTTATATATTCCAATACACTTTTGATATTATTAAATACATTTATGAATGGATAAATAAATCCAATACCATTATATTCTTAATTATACCTTCTGATTTTAGGATTATACTAAATTAATCTTACCAAAAACATTAATGTATGTATCTATATATTGTTAAAATCAGCTAATTTTTATGTGCTCATAAATTATAAAGTAAAGAATAAATTGCATACAAAAATTTATGAATATTTATTTAATTAAATTTTATTTGGTCATTCATTTAGAGTGATTATCTAATTATATACTTAACAGAATTTAATATATAAAGTTAAATCATTAAACATTTTTAGAAATGAATTGTATTATATATTAGAACCCAATAGATCACAAAATAGAATGGGTGGAATATTAAATTATAAAAATAATAATATTGTTTATTAGATTTATTATGTTGTAGATCAATGCCATTTATTGATGAACACATCTCTTCTTGGTGCTCTTAATTCTTCTGGATATTAGGTGCCAGCTGGATCTGACAAATCCTTCTTATTCAATCTAAGATCTACAATTTATTTATTACCTATTTGCATGCACTTGCCATAATTATTCAATGTGATCATGGTAATGAATAAATGTATACTCATTTGCAATTACAAAAGGAAGCACAAGAGTGTATAGATATTATCTGAATAATCTATGGGTCTTGAAAACTGATCCATATTCTCTCAAAATACTCAAGACTTATCCTCTTTTAGCATATTAATAAAGGAAAGTCCATGAAGCTCCTGTCACAATTGCAGCAAGTTCTAAGAATATATTTAATTCGATATTACATATATTTGAAGTCCAATCTTCACTTAATTCTTCATTTGTTTCTTTAACAATCTTTTAATATGGATAGAACTTGTATAGTGTGTTCAACTTTCCATATTATGAAAATCTATTAAGTGCATATGAAGCAAATAATCCTTTTACAGCTCTATATTGAACACCATCAAAGAATTGTCTGCTGATATCACCAGAAGGAAGTGTATTGAAATACTCTTCTGCAAGTCTTAGGTTGATAGGAGTGTAAGTTGGATGCACCGTGTAGAGACTGTGATTCATTTAATTAAATAATGATCATATCCAAATTATCATTAAAGCAAATGATAAAATTAAATTTGCTCCTGAATTCCTTATCTCTATTTGCTTCTCATCTTCTGATGCTTCTATCTTATTTCTAATATCCTCTTCAATAAATTTTTCTATTCTCAAATTATTTAAACTAGCACCTAGAGTTGATATAATTATAGTCTTTACTTTCTGAATTTGCATTATTTTCATTTGGTACATTTTGGGAATCTACAATAATCAATTATATATGTACCTTATTCTGAATTATTTGAATCTTATTCTGAACTATCCTAATTATCATTTTAACTAAATCAAAAGATAAATTTACTTTTCATTTTGGGAAGGATCAACATATTAAGGCTCTTATGGTTTTTATGGCTATGTTGGCCATTATGGCTCTTATGGCTATTAAGGCTCTTATGGTTATTAAGGCTCTTAGGGTATATAAGGCTCTTATGGTTCCTATGGTTTTTATGGTTCTTATGGTTTTTATGGTTCTTATGGTTTTTATGGTTCTTATGGCTCTTATGGTTTTTATGGCTATTATGGTTATTGTGGTTATTATGGATATTATGGTTATTATGGTTATTATGGATTCGTAGGTTATTAAGGTTAATATGGATATTGTGGATTCGTAGGTTATTAAGGTTAATATGGATATTATGGTTGATAAGGCTATTAAGGATATTATTATGTCTATGAATGAAATTTTATATGAATACTGAGGATTGATTATATTGTTGATGATAAGAATTTTTGTCATCATCATCATCTTTATGATCTGAACCATGATTATGTTCATAACCATTTCGACCTCCATCTCCTCCTCTTCCTCCATTTCCTCCTCTTCCTCCATTTCCATTTCTTCCCCCTCTCTCTGCTATTTCATCAAGAATTCGAGATTATTGAATGGTCTGTTGTCATAAATAAAAAGATACCAGACATTTGTTTAAAATTTTATCATAGTAACATTGGGATGTTTGACAATTTAAAGGATACGAAGCATCTATTTCAAAACATAATTATGATCTAGGCAAACATTGACCTGAGGAGATTTAGCATTATTCTTATTCATTCAAATTTAGTATCAAACATTGTTCTATTGTTCTGTTTATACATGAAGCATAGATTATTCCAATTATAAAAATTACAAATAGCATATATTATTTAATTTATATCATCAAATAAATAGTTT